TTGTACGTAGTGTATTGTGGTTCAAATTAATTATAACCCGCTTGAAATGTACAGTAGAAGAATACAGAGTTCTCAAACTGTAAACAATGTCTTATCAATTCACTTCTTACTTAGTTGCCGTTTAATGACCTTGATACAGATCATGTCTGCAAGGTTTAAGACATTTTAACTGTTTGATATAAGGAACCAGAGGAAGATTGATTGTGTGTTGTTTAATGTCCCATTTGTCACTCATACAGAGACATTACCGTATCCCAGTAAAGGGCTTCAAATTTAACCTATACTCGGCACTCAGGGCCAGTGAGCAGTAAGACCCTAAAGGGTTCTTTGTCGTCCCGATGCCTACCGTGACATGGAACCTTATTCGAAAGTCCCGTGACTTTCACTTCTAATGCCGGGCGTTTGGCGAAGGAACGGTCACTACCTATGTTTGCGCGGCGAACGAGAATCGAACCCGAGCCTCCCAATCACGAACCAGAGGAGAAAAAGCTATGACTAGAAAATGTGAAGGATGTACAGTCGGGGTTAAGTACAATATAACCGATTTTCTGTACATCGAGGGTATAATAATGAGCTGTCCTTGATGGCATGGACATACAACCACACGGTACAAATATCGTGGTTTGTTTACACGTTCATTTTGTAGTAAGGTCTGGGATTTGCAAGAATGTTTGATATCTCTTCAATTGGTATTGAAGTACGTTTAAGAATTATATGTAATCTTTAACAGCTGGGTCCAGTACAATTGAAAACATTTTGAGAAGTGTTCAATACTGTATTTTAAAAATGAAAATAAGGGAAGAATATTTCAAAAATTGCAATAAAATGAGATCATATGCTGCATATAAAATATCTCTCTAAACGAGCTGATACATTGTCACGTACATCTTTAATGCTCTTAAACAACGATAAGTACAAACCTCTTGTGATAAATGCACTATCCTCTTTTGATTAATTATGACCACTATATAAAACGTGTGTTTCACTTCTTCAGATTAGTTATTTGAATGAAATATCACCAATCTAAGAGTTAGGATTGTGATAATCGGTAATTAGAAAAGTGATATATTGTAAACTATTTAAATTAACAATATGTCACTGAAGAATGGCAATTTAAAGAAAATGTACTATAAAATCTTTAAAAGGATATATAATACTATGTTGTAAATCAGAGATTGTATATCTGCAATGATTTCTTTAATTGACAGATTTACCTTAATGAGATGTAGGCGCTAAGACTCTCACCGTGTAAGGAGATTCAACATACATGTATGTAGTAGAAGATCTGACGGGGATTTCATTTCTGGTTTTAGAATTAATCCCACGTCATTGAAATAGTATAAGTTCCTGATGCCAGAGATGATAAGATAATTAAGAATTTATCAAGCAATCGCCCCAATCTATATCTGTATAGAGTCCTTGGGAGGTCCCTTAAGGACTATTTCGATTTGAGACGTTGGTAAGGACAGAAGTTCACTATTCCACTTATTATTATATTTGGAATCTTCATGCCATATAGTGAACTTCTGCATTAATTTTTTATGAGCATACAATATCTCGGAATTATAGAGATCTTCAAACTGTAGTCCACCTTGATTTGTCCTCTGTCAATGTAAATCTTTGGGTAGATTCGTAGGAATATTTTCTTTATTAGTTTTTTTTTTTATTATTTTGTGTTGAAATATATATATATATATATATATATATATATATATATATATATATATATATATATATATATATATATATATATATATATATATATGAGTAGATGAAGAGGGTATTCTAAGCAAATAGCATCCAACCGCGAATAATTCGGCTATATGGAAAATTTGAAAGAACTTTCGATACCTTAAACTATTTTTATCCTCAAGTGCTTAATAAGCAAAATTATTGACCTTGTTTAAACCGTATATTTTTCTCAATGAAATGATATACTGCTTATTAGAATTTTTCAAAATCATTTTTATTGTCAGATCACAATATCGTCCTCAAAAATCTTTCTTGAAATATAATTTCTGTTTATAGACTCAGTCTGCAATACTGAAGTACATGCATCTAAAATCAGCCCACAACCAGTTAATCGCATATGGAATAAGCCAATCGTTGGGCTTTAGGATATAAACAAAAGATGAATCATTGCGATAAATGCATAGTTTTACAAGCAAGACTTTTTAAAATCAGATTTTGTAAAACTATTGATTTTAATTGCAGTTGTCTTTACTTTTTGTTACTTACCAGAAAAACCAACCGATGTGTTACATTTAGTGAAGTCAAACTCAATCTGTTCTCTGTTACTACAACCGTCTGCTGAGCCATTTGCGGGGTCACATGACGTCATCGTGCTGTTGTCATGGATGTAAGTAAAATTGTGTAACAGGAGAGAGGGACAATTCTGTCTGGCCGATGATTCCCTACCTTAAAAAAAGGAAAATTTTGGGTCATTTTCTAAGAGTTCGTGATTTAATTCCTAACGCCTATTTTGATATAAATTGTTGCAACCTGAAGGTAATATACTTTCAATGTTTTTTATATGCGTTGCAACAGGATCATTCTTAAGCCAAAGAATTGCAGATAGAAAACACAAAACGTGATAAAAAAAAAACATATCTAATCGCAAAACATTAGATCTCTGTGTGTGTGTGTGCGCCACTCTTTCTCTCTCTCTCTCTCTCTCTGTTTTAACCAACGATGGAGACAGAAGCTATTTTTCCCTTTTCAAAAGAGGGGACAAAGTTGTCTATTTATATCCTATCAAACATTTTGCAAAATATTTTACGAACCTAAGTTCATTTTAACTAAATTATAATTAAAGGTTAAAAAATGAATATCTAGAATTTGCCTTTTAGTTCCCTTATACTTCCTTTTTCAAAATGGTATTTTTTCTGGTCAGCTCTCTGTGTCATTGTCTCAGTAGTGGATATTTTTCTAAGATATATGTCTTAAACTCTTAATCTTAAGTCATACACTGTAATATGGATACTATTTATTTCGTGATACAAAAACGTTTGGTATCAGTTATATCACATGGGAATTTTATTTCGTCCCATTTTCTGAGTTATATTCTTATTTTAATTCAAGTAGGATCAACTTCAAATTCTATATACATGCATCATCCAATTGAAAGCAATTTCAAAATTAGATCTGTTTGTTCATCAAAAAATGTACATTTTATTTAGAATTTGATAAATTAACTTAAGAACTTTTACCAAGATGAAAGGGGATTTAACTATTACAACAGTGCTTACCTTTCCTAACGAGGACATGGAATTCGTTCGTTGCCGGTGGATTTGTAGGTGAGCACACTGCGTCAATAGTCAAATTAGCGTCGGAGGCTTCAGCATATAATCGTTGATTTGCAGTGTTACTTTGTTCATCTAAGTTAAGAAATAAAACAAAAAATATTCAGAAATTGACAGTATTAAATACTGAGATATATTTTGATATTTTCACTTGAAATTTGGAATAGTATCGATGTTGTACAATCGTAATCTAAAAATGTGGAACATGAACTTGTGTGATTGAAACGTGTAAAACTTTAAGTGTATATTTGTATATACCTGCTAAAACGTAATAAAGATAGGCATCATCGGATATTTTGGACCATTTGATACATCGAAACATGTATAACAATGGAATTGAAAATATTCCGAAATTTGTAGATGATCTGAAATTATAATTTTCACAGTAATCAATCATTGTGAACAATATTGGTCCTAACTATTTGTATTATTTGCAAAGAGAATTATGGAAATAAAATGGATATATATTTACATTATCCAGTTTATAATTAACAAAATGAATTATAAAAGAAAATATAGCAAATTTACCTGAACAACAGTTTATTATCCTCTTGATTGTCCTCAAGGCAGACCCAATTTGTCCCTTCTATGTTGTACACCTGGATCTTCCACCCCAATACCGACTGAGTACTGTTGTCAAATGTAACATCATTGTCAGGAAAAGCGCTGTCATGCCATAGTCCGTCCCATGGCAGAATACAAGCCCCGTCTGTTCAAGTATTAAGATCTCTCAAGAGAGAGAGAGAGAGAGAGCATAGGCGTCGGAACCGGGGTGGGGTGGGGTTAGGAGGGGCTTAGTCCCCCTTGTTTGTAGAGATAGACATAATATAGGCGTTAAAAATTGGGGCTTATTCCAAAAACCTTTTTTGCTGGTTTAGCCCCCCCCCCCCCACACACACACACCACTTTCAGTTAGCCCACCCACCCCTTTCCAATTTGCTTCCGACGCCTATGAAGAGAGAGAGAGAGAGAGATACGTGTCCTCTAGAAAATTTAGAATTTCTTAAATTTTAAATTTGTATATGACAATTGTCATGTACGAATTTAGACTGGAAAAATTCTTAATATGCTGGGGAACACTAGTTATTTCCATAATAACAACAATTACCAGTTTTACCTGAAAATCCCAGGAAAGCACCGGAAAAGAAAATCGTAATAAATGCATATTCCTTTTTCATATGCATAGTCTACAGACACTAACGCACAATATTTTGAGTATGTTTTTAAAAGACAAACACTTTTCACACATTGATTCATACATTGTTATGCAGGCCTTTGTTTCAAATGCGCTATGAATGGATTTGCGAATTTTTTTAAATCTTCCTTCTTTTGTGGAAAGTGTATCAGTCTTTAAATGACGATATCCTTTTTCAGAAGTTCTTTTCAAAAACAAGTTTTAAATATACAGTATACATTAAAGATCTGGAATGCAGATGTCTGTTATAATTATGTCAAAGACACAGTTATATCGAGTCAGATCAGCTTCTATCATTCCTTTATTCATTAAATATATGAGCTTCTTATTTGTACTTAGGACACAGTGTCTTAATTTTCTAGAATGACTGTACGTTTCATTTCACTATTGTCTGTAATGAAATGAAAGGAAGTTGACGATAGATAATTCTGAAAATGTTTGATAGCGGCTCACAACACCTGCAATGTCCGATATTACCTACAATACACATAAGCATAATGTCCGGCCGATAATAATGCAGTGCTTAGTACTAACGATTATTTTACTCATCCCTTTTTCTTTTTCTGAATTCCTCTTAAATCCTAATTTAGAACTAAATGGGAGCGCGATAGCACATGGTCCAGAAAAGGAAACACTGGAAATTAAACCAGATACCTCCGACAAACTTTGTACGAAACCAGCTGCTGTATATAAATCTGCTGGACCCGTTAATATTTATCTCAATGGTGGACTCATTCAAAACGGTAGGCCAACATTAAAAATAGTACGGAACACAATAAAACACGTATATGTTTACAACCTTCAAGATTTTGAATTTATAAAAGGTCTCCAAGGTATTCTGTTTTATTCATTTACAAAATGGACGACGTACGGAAGAAAATATCGACAATACATGTATGTATTTAACTATGTCAATTGTACCCAATGCTTACAGAAAAGGGAGATGCAGTAAACTTTACAACTGATCAGAAGACATGTAACTGTCCTCCAGGGCCTCCTGGTCCAAAGGGTGACAGAGGACCCCAGGGTCTACGAGGTCCAAGAGGAAACCCCGGATCTCCTGGAGGGTCAACCAATCAAACACGAGTAGGGGGAGACACATTCATTGCCTTTTCTGTGGTTATGGAAGCAAGACCTTTCGGGCCATACAGCTATTACAAGGTAGAAATAATAACAGTGTGAACACAAAATAACTGTAGAGATAGTGATAAATAAGATAGTGTAATAACAGTATGACCACATAATTACTGTAGAGATAGTGATAAATAAGATAGTGTAATAACAGTATGAACACAAAATAACTGTAGAGATAGTGATAAATAAGATAGTGTAATAACAGTATGAACACATAATTACTGTAGAGATAGTGATAAATAAGATAGTGTAATAACAGTATGAACACATGACTACTGTAGAGATAGTGATAAATAAGATAGTGTAATAACAGTGTGAACACATAATTACTGTAGAGATAGTGATAAATAAGATACATGTAATAACAGTATGAACACATGACAACTGTAGAGATAGTGATAAATAAGATACATGTAATAACAGTGTGAACACATAATTACTGTAGAGATAGTGATAAATAAGATACATGTAATAACAGTATGAACACATGACTACTGTAGAGATAGTGATAAATAAGATAGTGTTATAACAGTGTGAACACATAATTACTGTAGAGATAGTGATAAATAAGATACATGCATGTAATAACAGTATGACCACATAATTACTGTTGAGACAGCGACAAATAAGATACTTGTAATAACAGTATGAACACATAATTACTGTAGAGATTAGAGATAAATAAGATATATGTAACACTGTGAACACGTAATTACTGTAGGGATAGTAATAAATAAGATACATGTAATAACAGTATGAACACATAATTACTGTAGAGATAGTGATAAATAAGATACACATTATAACAGCATGAACACATAACTACTCTAGAGATAGTGATAAATAAGATACGTGTAATAACAGTATGAACACATAATTACTGTAGAGATAGTAATAAATAAGATATGTGTAATAACAGTGCGAACACTTAATTTCTGTAGGGTAGTGCTAAATAACATTCATGGAAAACGAAGTACTACGAGAAATGCAGCTTTATAAATCTAAATCATAGTTTACAATGTATATCCAAGTTTCCATTAAAAAGGTGATTTAATGCAAAATTAAAAGGCATAATAACACAAAAAGCCTTTCAAAATGCTTAACGCTAATTTTGCGAATCAAAAAAGCATATTAACGCAAATGAAGGCGCTACACTGCCAATAAAAGGTAAATTTAACTCGAGTCGAAAGACATTATAACACATTTATAAAAGGCGCGTAATTACGTCTTTCAAAAGGCGTTTATAATATGAAATGTGAAAACATAGGGCTGTCACGAGTACCCGAAATAACCGAGAACCGCGGTCCAAGTTGTTCGGTTCGGTTCCGGTTCCATTTTTCCGGATTTCGGTTCGGGTCTGGTTTATATATTAGAGTCTGTTCAATACAAAAAATGGCGTCGAAATCAAAGAAATGATGACGATAACAGTGATAAATAAATATCACAACTGAAATCTACTTCATTCCATGACAAAACACTTGTCACGGAAGTATTAGATCATGATCAAAACGAGCAGGAATGGTCAGGCGTTATATAGCTACAGATCTGCAGCTCTCTGGTCTGAAAAAATTGGGATAGTCGTCCATCCCAATATTTTCAGACCAGCGAGCTACAGATCTGCAACTAAGCGTTATAAAGCTCTAAACTTTTCAAAAAGCTTTAAATAACGTCTTTTGCATGAATTAAAAAGCAGATGTCACTTTTTTTTCATTATCAAGCCTTTTTACTTCGAATTATCACGCCTTAAGATTTGCGCTATACAATGCTTCTGTCTGCATTAATATGACTTTTAACTTCGCGTTAATACGCCTTTTTTGAAAGCCTTTTCACTTCGCGACATTACACATTTTGAAATGCATAATAAGGCCTTTTTAGCACTTTAAACTTTTTTTGCGTTAGTATGTCTTCTACAATTTAGCCTTTTCATTTTGCGCTTTCAATTTTTTTCGCTTACTTCGATCCAACCATGCTTTCGAACACAAATAAGTTTTGAACTTGCAAATGTTTCTCGCTCGGGAAAAATAATTTGGGCTTGTAAGATTCTTCTCTACAGCAATCCGATTGTTCCCAAAACTTTCGATCTAATTGTGTTCATTTGGGAATTTTGAAAATCTTACTAACGTAACATGGTGGCAATAATGGTATTCTTAGAACATATAAAATAAGATTTGAAATGTTTACCTTACCTATGAGAAAATTAAAATGTCAGTTGCAAAAATTCGTTTACATTGCTAGACAATACTTTCCTATACGATGTCAAACTTTATAGTTGCAGGAATTGTCAAAAATGAATAATTTAAAAGATCATGCAAACAATGGGGTTCAAATTGTTAACAAGTTGATTGGAAGTGAGAAACAACTGGGTCTTAAAGTTTCAATTTGGAGTGTATATTTTTCTACCTTAATCAGCCTTAAAAACATTAAATATAATCAACAAAGCTTTAATAATTTTTTTTTCAAAGCACTCGAGTCGCCAGCATACTAATGGTATAATAAAATTATAGCGTTGCCGTTTTAAAGGGGCCTGGACACAGTTGCATTGCTTACAATTTTAATTGTCTATTTTTTTTATTTTAAAAAATGATAACTTCAGTTAATGGTTAGAACTTACATGAATATTCTAAGAATTTAATGACAACGACATTCTTTTATAACATCATGTCAAACACCTGTGTTTGTAAACAGGGCACGAGCTCTGTTATTGATAGAGTTTACATTTTACGTTTTGTTCAATTTGTTAAACTCTGCACCATCACTGAGCACGGACTGACAATACTAGTGAGTTGGTTTTGCTTTCTCGCATTTCTACTCTGAACTTTCTGGATTACAGTTTTCATATTTTTTTTTTCATTAATACGCGACAAAATTTTTACCTTTACTCAATATTATGGATAAAGTTTACTTTGTGAAAGTGCAAGGATATGTGTCAATCAAACGCGTCCCGAAATTCGTAGTATAAATAATTTCCAGATAAAATAAGTTTCTTAACACGCTTTTAATACATTTTGGCGTGAAATGCTCTAGCAACATATGTCATAATATTATTTAGAAAATTTTAGAAAATATGAGCTTCAAATCTGTGTCCCAATCCCTTTAAATATTTCACACATGAAAATCTATATACATGTAAAAACCTTTACAGCACCAGTTTTCATCTGATAGTATTTCGCTCTTACGAAATGATAAGTTATGAGAGTGATAATATTTTTTCAACACTCTTATTGCATTATAAGTGCCATTACAAAGTGCTTTGAAAAAATTCTATACGAGCTGACGTTTTTAAAAACACTTTTAACTCAAATTGAGATGGTTTTGTAATCGATCAATGTCTGGTAGCAAACATTCGCTGCCTGTGCAAATCGAATTTATTCCCATCAGTATGATAAATTGCAAAAATAACAAGAACCAAAACTGCAACTAACTCAGGAATTCTCACTTTTAATGCCCCCGTATCGAAGATTCGGGGACATACAGTGTTTAGTCTCTCCGTCTGCCTGTCTGTCTGTTTGTCCCTTAATCTATTTGTCCGCAAAAACTTTAACCTTGCCCATAACTTTTGATAGGTTGGTGCTAGGGCTTTCATATTTCACATGTGTATTTCTTGTGACAAGACCTTTCTTTTAGTATCAACATATTTGACCTCTTGACCATGGAGTTTGACCTACTTTTGCAAAATTTTACCAAACATTAACCTTGGCCATAACTTTTGAACAGTTGGTGCTAGGGCTTTTATATTTCACATACATGTATATTTCACGTGACCAGATCTTTCTTTGAGTAACAACATTTTTTTACCTTTTGGTCTTGATCATGAAGTTTTACCTACTTTTGAATAAATTTAACTTTGGTCATAACTTTTTAACATATTGTGCTAGGGCTTTTATATATCACTTGTGTATTCTCTGTGTCAAGACCCTCCTTTGTACACCATTATTTTGGACTTTCTGACCTTAACGTTTGGGTTTGACCAACATTTTTAAAAACTTTAACCTTGCTTTAACTTTTATATTTCATAAATTTCTCTTACCATAAAAGTGACAAAACCTTGAATAACAATTTTTTTTACTTCATGACCTTGACCTTGGAGTATTCATGACTACTTTTGAAAACTTTAACCTTAACCCTATTTACTGAATAGTTGATGCTAGATCTTTCATATTTTACATATTTATTGTGATAAGACCTTTCTTTGAGTACCAACATTTTTGAACTTTTGACCTTAACCTTTGAGTTTGAACTACATTTGAAAAACTGTAACCTTGGCATTGAGCTGCCATACGAGTGTATCAGTGTTTCACAAACATATCTTGTCAGTTCTACTTGCCACTGATGTGTATTTAATCTCTTTTTAGATTATACAGTTTGACAATATCATCAGTAACGTGGGGTCGGGGTATGACGAGGAGAAGGGAGTGTTTACAGCCCCGGTTCCAGGATATTATCAGTTCAACGTACACGCCCATACCATTGTACACAAACAGGCGGAAGTCAGAGTTATGGTAACATTCACATTACAAAATTAAAACCATATCATTAATATTTTATAGCACAATTTTGTAAAATAATTATTCAACGGTAAAAAAAAAATGATATAACAAGGAATCTTCCTCTCATTAACAAGTAACATTTCTTTCAAATAAATTTTGTATTCCTGTACATGTATGTAGGTCTCTGGGTAGCCTGGTTCCCTGGCTTATCCTAGTGTCGCGGAGTATACGAAGCATAACAGGGACAGGGAACCAGGCTAGTCTCTTGCGGACCACAAATATATATAAGGAACAGAATGAGAAATCTCTATTTCATTTCACCATTTTTCTAACAAATATACTGAAAGGAAAAAAGAAACGCAGGGTAACATAATATGCGAAATTTTTTTTACTGTATAACTGAAAATTATTAAAATTGGTCAGAGGGATATATTGATTACTGTGCATTAAAATCAGTGTTCAGAACTACTCAACCTTGAAATGTATGACGTCACATAAGGAAAGTGGTAAAATACCGAAAAACACGTTCATATCGACGACGACATGTTTTTAATCACATCTAGTAGTACCATTTGCTGCACTTAAGTTATATACATGTACATCGTTTTTCGATATTTACAGTCGATTTGCATTTCTTGAAATCAAGGTACAGTTGACGGAAGTACCATGGGGTCTCACTATTGCATTGCCTAAGTAAGGACAAAGGCAACGACAGGTTTCTGTGCAGTTTGTTGTGAATTTTTCCACAATAGAACGTCTTACCCGTCCTCAGAGAGGGCGTACAAAAGGTTTGCAACCAACCGTGACGATGACGTTGACGCGTAACAGCGCCACGTCAAGATCGGGCTGTTCATCCTGCCACCTGTATAATCACCATTACATTATCCTAAAAATGCTATTAATACATATATATTATTATAACAGTAACTTGATCCGAGGAGCCGTATCACGTCGAGTTGACAGGCGCGGATCATCAGATCAAACGAGACGCGAAGCGTCGAGTTTGATCTGATGATCCGCGCCTGTCAACGAGACGTGATACGGCTCCTCGGATCAAGTTACTGTTATAATGATAAATTTATTATATACCCCTTTACAACTAGCAAAGTATAATAAAAGGAAAACTTTTTTGGATCAATTACATAACTTTTATCCATTAAACAAACCATTTTGTCAAGGAACTTTTTGATGCGCGAGAATAAAAACGTCATTTATCTGTGTACTACGTCATCAGTTTCAGAGAGGGGTGATATGGATTCAGAAAACCACAGTGTGGTGATCTGGAAAGTCGGATCACACTCTGTAAAATTAACAGTAACAAAAACAAGGAAATTGATGGGTATATAATAAAGCAGGCTATCATTATCGTTACATTCACCCCAAAACTGAAGGAAATCGTTAGCGCGATTTTGGTTTGTGAGCTCGTCAACTTTACGTAAGTGTTCCTTTAACTCACACATGCGTGCGTCGTTTGCCTATTTTTTTTTTGTTTTGGCATGTTTACCTCCCTCTCGATGCTGCCAGGGTTTGTCAAGATTTTCTCGCAAACAATCACATTTATCCACTTGACTGGTCTCCGTCACGTCCATCTTTTTCGTATCAACCGTCTATGGGACTACGTGGACGATAGGGTTTAAAATAGGGTTTAAAATGTCCAAGCTGGTCTCAATCAACTAAGGGCTGCCTTCTCGGAAGGGTTGAATAATATCCCTATTAGAAGGATAAACACACTGATGAACTCCATGCATAAGAGAATCAAGGCTGTGACAGATGCGCAAGGGAGACATATGTGAGATAATGAGAATTTCATTTTTCACTTTTTGGGGGGTCATATGAGTTTCAATAACTCATGAATTATTGGGGAAAATCAAATGAGATTTTAGTTACATTTTTATTAAAGATGATTTTAAATGTTTGATGGGATAACTGGAAAATACGCCTGAAATATATATAGCCTTATTTCACCTAAAAAGTTTACCCTGCGTTTCTTTTTCTTTTCAGTATGCATTTAAAATTCTGAGTAAAATTTTCATTCAGTTCAACAGCGAGAGAGTGGTCTCTGTATGGGCTGACGGGAGGATTGGCGAAGGGGAGAAAAAAGACGCCCAAAAATCACCCATGAGCCCCTTCATGCCAGCAACCAATCAGAAACCTTCCCTACAACAAGTGCATGAAATGGGATCTTCGAACAGCTTCATCATCAGAGTAAACCGGGGTCAAAAGGTCTACTGTCTCCTACCAGCCAATCAAGTGCTTGCTGGACTTGGATTTTCTTCATTTTCTGGACATTTACTTAGCGTGGCAAATGACTGACGTTAAAATATTAATACAACGGAATAAATAGAATTAGAGAAATATATGATGATATCAGCCTCCTTCTTAAATTGACAAAAAACAAAATTAATTAAATATGCCTGACAATAGGCAAGTCAAAATTCGTCGAATAAATAATTATCTTTGTGGGTACAGTGTCTACATTTTCTATAAAACATCCAATTCTAATCGACAGGACCATTTTGGCTACTATGTCAAAAACAATTTAAAGGACAACTGTTTTAGTGCATTTTAGCAACCTTTAACATTTTAATCTCACAATAAAGAACTTGTAAGTTAAAAATCAGCTATATTACATTGTATACACCAACGATTAAATCTCAGGCCTAAACAGTTTCAGGGAATTAAAATAGAATGACTTCTTTACATTATTGTTGCTTCTAAATATGATAAAATAAAATTTTCGCACACATATTTTATGGGATGGATCTTAAAGTTTTTAGCATAAATACATTTCACCATTCTGCATAATGAAACCTTCGTCTAACCAGCTAACGAGATCACTGCAAATGATACGCTGATCTCAAGCCAACAATATTTTTAGTGGTACTCAAAATTGTGGACCATAACTCTTAAAGAAAAATCGTACATACAGAAAGAAAATTAAAAAAAAATCAACAATTTCTTTTTATTTTTAGAGTAATACGTCTTGCTTTAAAGAAAAATTTGATATTTTTGGGATTATTTATTATAAATAAAAGAAACCAAAAGGCACAGTTACTGAATAGACACTGATAATTTTCTAAATGTTAAATAATATGACATAATTGATAAGCACCCAAAGGTTCTAATGACCATTGATACTTTGACTACTGTTCTTCTTAAATATGAGAAAAGACAAAGATTCCTTGATGAATTGAAATTCATAGTTACAAGATGTTTCTACATTGTATCGCCATAATTACAAGAGGCACATGGGCCACAACGCTCACATGAGTCATTATGGTCCTGCTGTTCTCCTTAGCAGATTTATTCCCTAAATATTCCTCCGCAAAACTTTAATCGCCTATAAGTATTGTGGTCCCACCCTACATTCGGGGGGTAATGATTTGAACAAAATTAGATTTACACTACATAGAGAGGCTTCCATACCAATATAACTAATCATGCCTTTGCTGTTCTTGAGAAATTTTTAAAAGATTGTTGTCTATATATTTCTATATAAAACTTATGATTGCCCATGGTGGCCAACCCTACCCATGAGGGCCATGATTTGGAAAAACTTGAATCTTCACCTTGTAATGAAGTTTTCAAATTAATGAAGTCAAAAATGTGATAAGTTTACAAACAACAGACAGACGCTGGACACCCTTCGATCATAAAAGCTCTCGTCATTTTGTCTTTTTATGAGGTTTTATGAAAATATCTTGAACGGTTTCTTTATAACTAAGATAAATGCAAAATGACAAATAGTAGGATCAAGGCCATGGGGAAGGTCAAGATCAGATAGAAATGACACATTGAATAGTCCCCACCAAAATGTAAGTATCAGTGTATGAGTTTTGATGAAAATATTATAAATATGAATATATATATATTCAATATAAATTAAATATAAATATATGAAAATATTATGAACAGTTTCTACTTAACTGTGCTAAAGGCAAAATGAGTAATAGTTAGGTCTAAGTCAAAGGGAAGGTCAAGTGTAAAAATATGTGAAACAGATGAATAGAAACAACCAATACGCATCATCTTATAGGCTTTGATAAAAACATTTTGAATACCGGTAGTTCATTTGAAACTAAACGTGACACAAAGGAGATGGGCGAACATAGCGTGCAGAAAGCCTATAGCTTCAGAAATATAAAAATCATGTTCAGTTTGTGAATTTAATATTTAGAGTAAAGTTCTCATTATTGAAATTTATGTAATTGTAATAAACAAAACTTTTCTGAGGAAAATTTTCTCGGCAAAATTTATTCTTTTATTAAAAAAATAATGTGGTATTCATGGGGTTCGAACCCTAGCAATAAAAATCCTGAGAACCATTTTCTTTCGAGACTAGCACGCTAACCACTAGACTACACAGGTCCTGACGAACAGTGGCATTTAAATCATGTTTGTGATATGACCCTTGACTTAATGGACTTCAAGTATTTCTCGAAAAGATGCGAATGTTATGTCATAAAAGTAGATTTTTAAGGTATAGTGGGTCATTGCTCCATATTTTTGGTAACCAAAAAAGATGTGTATTTTTATGCAAACTTTGAGAATTAACGTTCAAAAAGGTGGAGCGAAGACCCACTCATACCGAAAAATAGTGTTATAGTATGCAAAAATGACTCTTTTTGCCCGCTTTAGTGTGTGTCTAATATTTCACAGGCAGATAATTTCAATCTTTGAGGGATTTTTGCAATTTGTAGAGATTTACATAAAGTATATTTTAATGTTAGACGAAATATCAAGGAAACTTTTGATATAATAGAAATTTAATTTTTCATCTTCATGTTTGTCACATTATAGGCTTATCGCTCGCCATGTTCACCCATCTCCTTGGGGATATTGAGGTCAATGTCAAAGGGAAGGTCAAGGTCAGAAAATTATGCCACAGTTGAATAGATGTCATCAATATGTATGAGTGTATGAATTTTGTGTCCAATATCTTCAACTTATTTTGGAAACTGTGCTAAATATTAAGTGTAACAGATGGACAGACGGAGGATGGACATGGCACTCACTATTCATGGCGGGACATTAAAATTTAAAATTTGCAAGTTAGTACATGTAGCGGTAACTGTTTATTTTCTAATACATTAAAGACTGATTTTTATTGTTCCTTTGTAAGCATTATTTCCCTTAATTTGAAAAGCTATTATTGTTTACATACCGGTATACACTTAAGAATTTAAGTTCAAGGTTTTAACTCTGTAAAAATAAAACAGAATAACACAAAACTCTTCTTTTTGTAAAACTTGTTTATAAAGTTTCAAAGGGCTACAAGTTGATATCGATACAAAGTATCGAATCAGCTGCACAAATTTTAAGCATCCTAAGGTATTTATGCAAGAAAATGTCCAATGAAAACACGTGATTTTTTAGTATGAAATATTTTGACTGTACATGTACAAACATTTAATTATAAACAGAAATGGCCCTTTAATTTTAGTGCATTTGTTAGTCAAAATAAATTAATTCATCAATAAAAATTAGAGATGAAGGATAGGAATGTATTATTTAAAAAATGGGGAAAATTAATACACACCCAAACTTTATAATCATGAATATTTTAATGAAATCCAGTAAAAGGACTTTTACTCAAAGCCTTTATATGACTTTTACTCAAAGCTTTTATATGTATTATAACAAGTCTGTAAATGTTTTACAAAATCCCTCGATTACTCTATGTTAACATCTCTCTCTCTCTCTTCCATTCTCTTCCCACACTCTCTCCACTCACACTCTTTCCACTCACCCTCTCCACTCACTTCCCTTTCTTTTTCCCCACTCACATTCTCTCTCTCCACTCACACACTCTATCTCTCTCCACTCACACTCTCCCCACTCGCTCTCATCCTCTCCACTCACCTTACTCTCTCTCTCTCCCCTCTCTTTCTCCACTCACACTCTCTCTTTACTCACCACTCAACTCACACACACTCTACTCACACACACACTCTCTCTCTCTACCTCTCTCCACTCACTCTCTTTTTCCCCACTCTCATTCTCTCTCTTTATTTTTTTTTGTCCGACTGATTCAGTTACTCGATCTGAGTCAGTTACTCCATGTATGCATAATCCAAAGATGTTTCAAAGTTTTTACAATAAAAAAATAATGAGAAAAATACTTATTCTGTAAAAGAAGAGGAAATTTTATCGTTAATTTAAAAGAAATTATAAAAAGTTTATTCTTGATGTGTTTATTTTAAAATTGATTTAGCAGAATTTTTTATTTATGCAAAAAATGAATGTAATTTAAAATTATAAGGGCGATAACTTCACATAACAGAAATTCACAATTAGATCATTGCGTTGTTTGTTTGCATATTAAATAAAGAAGAATTTTATAAGATTGAAGAACAATACTTAAATGTTTACTAACATACAAGGAAGATGATATGTCAGCTAGAAATCCCAGTTGGATATTATTTGTTGTACCGTTATGAAAAGTAGATGTGAGGCTGATGCCCTAAATTATTCACATGATGAGAGGATGTCTATATAATGCATTCAGTTTACTTAAATTTTCACATTTTTATAATTTTTGTCCTGTTCAGACATCGTGTCGTTGCGTTGAATGTTAGCCAAAATCCACTTGCACCATGATTCCCTCTATGCATTACTCTTATTAAAATGTGTACTGTTAATAAACCTACACGCCAGCTTTACTTGTTGCATGGTTCTACTCTACTAACCATAGATTTCCACTTAACGTTTTGAATGGATACTGTTAAATGATTAACCGTAGGGCCATCAGTGTAATTTGAGTAAATGTTCACCTTATAACAGGCCTTTGCCATGCTTCTGGGAAAATTACAATCATTCAATTAAGCAATTGAGCCATTCAGTAAAAAGTGAGCCATGCAAAATGTGTGCATAAAAATTGTTACAAGGTTGCCTCTTCCGCGCATAATGCCCTGTTACAATGCAGTTTGAAAAAAAAAATTCAAAGTGCGTTGAATTTGGGATCAAATTAACGCACTTTGAAAAAAAAATTCTTTTCAAAGTGCGTTAATATCGACCATATTAATGCACTTTGTAAAAAAAAAAAAAATGTGGGCTACAATCCCTCAACCCCCTCCCCTCAATACTAGTCACTATAGATACTCAGTACGCTCATACGAATCTCGCACGGTACTTGATTCTAACACAATGTGTTACAATACCGTTTTGTACAGTTCTATATTTTTTGCGTACGCAACTTCAAATGTGCTAATACTGCCAATCATACTTAGGAAAAAATTAAGTTAATTAGACTGAGAATTTTTTTTCATAATGCAACATTCAGTCTTTTTTTCTACTGGTAATTTTTTTTACATGTAACTAGAAAGGGGAAAGACGATACTACCGTGTATAGACTAGTGTCAATTCTTGGTATACCAAGCACCTCTTTTTTAATCAATCAATTTTTTTAATGTAAAAAGCCTCATTTTGTTAAAGACACTAGTAAACGACAAAAGACATTGGTAAAGAATTTGAGCTAATCACTTGTTGTACCTCTGATATCGAAGGTCAGAGGCATATTGATTTAGTTCTGTGTGTTATTTTTTTTCACAAATTTAATCTTCCCTATATTTTTATGAGAAGAAGTTTGAGACTTTATTCATAGAAAATCAAAGATATTTACGAGATCGAATTTTCTTATCAATCTTCCATATTCTTTTCACGCAAATTTATTTGGGTAGGGTTCCAAAACGTTAACCTTTCTTATAACTTCTGAAGAAAAAAGAAGACTATATTTTTATACATTATACTGAATGTTTTATACAACTACATATAACAGTGAACCTTGCGCGCATAAATTCTGCGCAGTCACTATTTTTTGGAATATCACCCGTCGTCAAGCAATGTTGACTGTTGCTACGCTGGAAGGCGTGGCTTCATCATTCAGCGGGTAATAGTGTTTTTTAACAAATGTTTCTCGACGAATCAGATTCTACTAATTTACATGAAAGTATAATATTTAAATATTGTTGCACATTATTTTCCCATAGTAAAATCATAGAGGATTACAATTATGGAAGCTATACATATTTATTTACATGTTTCTCTTTCTTACACCGCTAATAAAATGATCTTGATTTTTTAAAATAATTACAGCTGTAGAGTCATATTTTATCAAATGTGATAAAACCATTCAAAGAATGTGCGTATTCTTGCTCTAATAGTCCTAGAACATCATTATAGCCTTGTTAGGTTTTCCTTTAATGGGGATTAAACATCTTGTATTAATAATATTAGATATAGTATAACCTTTTAATTTTGTCATTTAAACTTTAAAGCTTTAAGCAATGAACACTTTATATCATATTAAGGCTGTGTGATTTTACCCCTATGTATTTGCCTCACAAGAATTTTCCTACTAAAACCATGCATTTTTTTAGTATCAAAAATGACACTGGGTCATTATTCTACAGGGTCATTTTACTACATTCCTACAGGGTCATTTTTCTACAATCCACATGGAGAATGACACCAAGGCACAGGCACTTGTTTCGTATTCAACCCCCCCCCCCACTTATTTTTACCACGTGGTAAAAATAAGTAGGGGGTGCCCCGTCTACAACAGTTGCTATACCTATTTTTTTTTAATCAACTTAGGTCTGTGGCAGCTGTGATTCGAACACACGACCTTCCGATCACGGAGCAAGCACCCCACCGGCTGAGCTACCGTGACGGTCATAGTGCAAGAGAAATCCAAGTGTGGAAAATCATCTAATTCTGAGAACCTCACTGTATCATCTTTTGCATGATTTTACATGGACTGTTACTCAAAAAGTTTTGAATTTCCCAACTATGACTAAAGATAGACCCAAGGGAAATAACACTCACCTAAGACAATTTTCAAGGAAACCTGCATTTTTTTATAATTCCAAGACTACTTGTGGCCATCCTATCTTCAGACGATGCCTTTTAAAGATTTTTTTCTATAAATTATTTAAAATTTTTACTGTCAGAAACTTAAAAGCTTACATTGGGCTAACATAAAACAGTACATGTACCACTATATAATTAGAAAAAAAAGACAAAACCTTTGTTGAGATCTGATTTATTCAAAACAGTATTTATGTAAACCCAGACAGCATGTACAGAGTATGTCAACAACAAATATGATTTATAAACACAAAATATTGTGTGTCAATATATCTATTCATTCTTTTATTGGAGAAATGAATACAGCTATCTGTCTATGTGGACTGCAACTTCATGAATCCCTTAAAAGAAGTTCGCATCCATCATTCAGAAATAAAACAAGTCTTTGTTTAGAAAACTGTTGTGATATTTAACAAATCAGGAGAAGTTATAAACATTCCTGTAAATGTCACCTCTGACTGAATGAGGATGCTTCCAAATTCTGCTCCATTAACTGAACATCCTGAGCATCTTCTTTAATAATGTCCACAAGATGCTTCAGACCATCCTGTTGTTGTTTTAAAAGCTGAAAAAAATTCATTTTTTTCAAGAGTCAATGAATTCTATATACAGTAAAACATGCTTATAGCTAAGTGCCAGGGACCAACGTCTTTTGATTTGTTATATATGTAATTTGTTATATCCATTAAGTTTACAATACATTTTAAAACCATAGGAATAAAAAATCCCTTAAGCGTGAACTCAATCTTTTCACATGTAGTACATTTGTACCAATAATGAGAGAGAAAGCTAGACAAATCATGATAGTCCTAACAATGAAATACAGTTGAACTCAAACTCTCCATGGACAATTTGAGTTCAGTTCAAGTCCCAACTACTTTTTCTTTATGTCAATCTCGATAACTTGAATCATTGAATATCTTGAAGTTTTTTCTCCGTCCCATAAGGTTCAAGCAAATGATGTTTGTAGTGATACAACCTCAATCTGGTTTCACAAACCAGGAGACTGTGAACCGACCTGGTTCTAGTCATACAAATATGAGAAAGTGAACCAACCTGTTTAATTTCCTGCTGCAGACTTGGGTCCATCTGGTAGCTGACATCTGCTCTGGTTGCCGCTAAGTGATTCTGCATCCGAATCTGGGACATTAGTTCATTCAACCTACCCTGTAATGAACAATAATGCCATTAATTGTAAATAAGAAGTAAACTGAAATAAATATATTTTAAAAATGGGAGAAACCCTAATAACATTTTATATGTAAACAATTGTACCTTAAACTGTGTAGGATGGTTGAGTTCAAGTTGAATTTTCTCCAGTTGCACACGTAACTGTTCTTCCTCTGGTTGAATGGAGTACCCCATTTTTCGTGAAATTTCTTGTTTTACTACTACCTGTTAAAAAAAATCAAATTCTGTAGATCAGAAAAATATTAACCTTACAACATACTGGCAATACACACATTTAGATAACAAGAAAAAATGTGTTTGTAGAACAAAGAACTCAGCAGTGATAAAATTATTATTAAGTATAGTAAAATGAAAACTTTTTCGGACCTTTGCTTTATGGAGCCTTGATGCTTCATTTTCTCTTTGACAATTACGTACATGTATTTCATATATTAAGGCAATATAATGATAAAGTTAACAGTTTTGTACAGACAAAACAAGCTGCCTAATCTGCTATGTCAGGGCATGACATTTGAAATTTGTCTGAATGTTTAAGATGGCACAAACTGATTTTAAGATTCTAATAGAGAATAATACAAAGCAAAAATCTGTCTCACAACCCATGTCAACCCCTAACTCCAGTATCAGCCAGAGGGCAGAAGGCCATATCATATCAAGGATGCAATAATCATGTATTATATTACTTACATGTATATATAGTAAAACAATATGAATGAATGCAGATATTTCAAATAAATCAGTGGAAAATTTTTACTTTTGAACAGATTTCTGAATGTCCAAAAAAAAATTGCTTCATCTGTAGAATTGAACTAAACACAAAATGAGACCACAACAAATGTACTTCTCTCTGCATCATGTTAGTTCTTCATGAGCATCCACTGCTATAAAAGTTTTTATAATACATGCAATGGTATTCTCATGTCACACAAAGATCTTGTATATTCTGATTTTCATTAATCATTATTTAATTTGTACTAATCACCTGTAACATATTTTACCTGTAATAGACCTGAAACATTTTTTACTTGTAACAATCACTTGTAACATTATTTTACCTGTAATAATCACCTCCAAAATTATCTTACCTGTAATAATCTGTGACTAAGCTGGATGTGTTTCCTCTTGTACTCCTCTAACTTTGCCAACATGTTCACCTGCTTCTGCTGTAAGGATTCCAAGTCCTCAGCAATTATCTTCAATTAAGGAAAAAGAAATATATATAAAAGGTTTCAATTCCAAGTCAGTTCTGTGTGTCTAGAAACTAAAAACACACCAGGTAGTATTTCATGTAATGTAGTCTCCAGCTCTGATATATGAGAAAAAATACCCATTCTCAGTATATACATGTATTTCCCCCCAATGAAATACATTTTTGTGTAAAAATTAATACATTGAAATAATAATCTGTGTAAGATTTAATCACATTTTGCAACTATGCTGGGAGCATGACTGCACATGACTTGATGCTTAAGCTTCTGTTTGATATAGGTACAGCGTATCAGTGCTGGGAATATGATGCACAACCATGACTGTAGGGCTTTTGATTTAAAATGTATATGTTTGATATTCATATATTAAGAAATATTATCACATTTTCTCCATTTTATTGCAAATCAAGACTCTTATATGGCAGATTTGATGACAAAGCTGTAAGGTTTATAATACATGTACTTAAGTTTTCTTATTAGAATTGAGGTATCACAGTAGATTAATGACATTTTTTAATATGCAGACTTTACAATTGGTTGATTTGGTTTAATAAGTGATCCAAATGAAGAGGGCTAAAAAAGATGTGTGCTACACATGTACAAGTACTTTCTTTTATCATCAAAATCAGTAAGTTAATACATTTATCCATAATTCAGCTACATACTGAAAGAATTTGCTCTGTGATTACAATAAATACAAAAGGTCCACATCACCTGAGCACTTTGGCAAGAAAAAGCAGAAATCAGTTCAATATTGAAAAGTTTACATATATAAGTGGTCCCATCCCATCCCCTGGGGTGATGTTTTGAACAAACTTGAAATCTAATACCTACACTACCCAAGGATGCTTCCATATTAATACGACTAATCATGGGTATGTCGTTCTTCTTCATCAGATTTTTACAGATATTTTCAATATATTTCTATGTAAAATTTGGATCCCCTGTTGTGCCCCCCCCCCTTTTCAGTAGTCATGACTTGAACAAACCTGAATACTTACACAAATGAGGATGGTTTTATATTAATATGAATAATCATGGCTAATATGTTCTTGAGAAGATACATGTACATGTATTTATGATCATATTTGGATATGCTTTTTTTACCCAGTGAGTTGTGTTTTTGTCCTCATGTCTCGGCAAAGGGATAAATGCACAATGAGTTGCATAAAAAATCATATCTAACCACAAACCATGGAAGATTTTTTTATCAAATGTTTTACACATACATGTAGCTTTTGTCATGTTTTGTAAAGTTCTATTTAATTTGACATTCAAATTCATGCAAAAACCATTGTGACATCACATCTGTGGATAATGGATATCAAAGTGATATCCTATGAGCTATATCCATTGTATAAGTAGTAAACATGTGATAAATCACCATTATGTAACTTATAGTGAAGAATGGTAAAGAGTGGTAATACTGTGTCTTATACTGTCTTACATCCAGTCTCTGTTGATGAGCCTGCGTCTGTTGTTCCTGGTGCTTTAATCTTTGGTGTAGGGTTTTAAACCCAATCATAGGAACTGGAATAAGATTTTCTGGATCTGGGTTATCTAACTTGGCTTGTTCCCACAGAAAAGGATGGATTCCTAAAGATAAAATAGATTTACAGTAAAACTTGTCCATTCTAAATATTGTGCACTTAGCAAAATATTTACATTCCCAAATACATGTATTTCATAATGTTTCCAACACATTCTCTGATCTGGATGTCATCCAAGCAAAATTTATTTAACCACTCAGGGTTTGACACTAAGGCACGTCCAACCGACCCAGTCTAGTAAATGAGTGGTCCGGTCGTGTAAAATGTAAGTGAACTAGACGGATTGATCGTGTTGATAAGATAACTGTTAAAACCTACTTCAGTCTTTCAAATAAATATTCTAAAAACATTTAAAGAATTTGTCTTAATTATTCAGATTGTAAATACCCATCACTCTGTGAAAAAAAAAATCCCTCGTATGACACAATCGCTGTTTTAGTCATGGTTGTAATAGACGAGTCGCAGTAGAAACTAGCGTCGTTCTGTATCAATTTGGTATAAATAGTTACTAAAAAAATATATATTCTGCAATTATTTGAATGACAATATTCGCACGTCTTGATGAACCCGACTCAAATGGCTAGTCGGTCAAATTCTTGACACCTGTGAGAAACGATTTCAAAATAACCTCATTAAAATTAGCGATTATAAGACATATTTGCAGGTTTGGTCAGGGCTAGTGATTTTACGGTCAGGGCTAGTAAAAATTATGGGAAGTAGCCCGATTGGTCTAGTACTCGTAAAAGTTAATGTCAAACCCTGCCACTGATCCCCAGCATGACACGACCCCTTCCCCCATAACTATAAAAATTATATTTTAAATATTAAGTAGAGCTCCATTAATATATTCAATTCTAAATGTTTAACATTAAAAAGATTCGATTTCAAATCTTAAAGTGTACAGCTTTTCAGTAATAGCTTTTCCAAAATCAGTTAAATTTCCAAGAACAATTGACAGACCTGCAGGGGGAGTGTCCAGGTATTCCTTCAGGGCCTGTTCAGTGAACCCCATCTTTGGAACAACGTTCTCCACCACTAGTTTACTCTTGAGCTGAGTCACCTGATTGTTGAGGAAATTACAGGTCTCATTGGCTGGTATCCTCCTGGCTGGACCCGTAGCAGGCCTCTCCAAAATGTATATAGCAAATTCCGTCCTGGAAGTCAAAAATATCATGCAATGATTTTTTTTTGGTCCAGTTTGTAATTAAGTTCTTTTCAATCTTCTCTTGACAAACTCATTTGAATTTTCTTTTAAAATTTCATCCATTTTACACATGGAAAAATGTTTTCAAATTATTGTGATTTTAAGTTAGCATTTTTTGACACTTGAGAAATTTTTCTTCTTCAGAGATACCCATGTCTGATACAAGGATTTAATTGTTAAGAAATTTACATAGGTATCATTTTGCTTTTTCTATATGATAAAATATTTGCTCTCAAACTACGATACATGTATGTAAATTCTTAACTAGGATAGTGATTAATCATGATGGTCACTTTATGGTTGCCATTGCTTTATCTTAGCTAAATATATATTACTTCATGAGAAAACAATCTGTGCTTTTAATTAATCAATGACTCCATTCAATAATTGAATGAATTTTCCCTGGCAATATATGCATCCTGTGATTCTACAGCCTTGCTTACATGTTGTCGGGGAGTTTCTTAATGCCCTCCACACAAACAGAGAGTTGTGGTTTACTGCCAAAGATTCCAAACAAAGTGTCCACGATCTGCTGCTGGTTTGCTCTCACTTCAGCTTCAGGCTTCTTTATGAACAAAGACACCAGTCCATCTTCATTCTTTGTTTTAGGCAGACGATTATAACCCACAGCCTTAAAGCAAAAAAATTTGTTTGTAAACATATGTAAAATCAATTTCAATTGCAATGGCCTAAAAATTTTTTTTTACATTTCTGAGCCTAATGAGTTTCCCTTGTTCAAATAACCTTCCTCTAGATCATAATCAACCCTTGTATCAAATATGAGCAAATACAGTCAAACCTCGATATCTTGAACCTGTTGGGACTGAGAAAAACTTTGAGATATCCGATGGTTCGAGATATCAAGGATAAAATACTTAAGAAATATGTGGTAAGGACTTTTCAATCACTTCGACATATCCATGGTATTCAAGATATCCATGTTCAACATACCAAAGTTCAACTGTATTTGATATTACTTGGCAATTTAGCAGGAATCTTTCGCAGTTGAGGAAGAAAACATCCATTAGCTGGGGACAATGTGCTGTTGAATACATAGCAAGATCGATTACCGTTGACTTCTTAAAGGGTTTTTATCACGTATCTAAATTTCTTAAAAATGAAACACTATTATATTCTTGAAACATATAATTATCGTTTAATTATGAAATAATGTTGAAAACAGCCGTAATTAGACGATAAAACGCCCATAATATAGGGTCCTCGAAGTAAAAATCTCCACTAATTAGATAGGGGTCACGTGGTACTGAAACGTCATAGGTGTCAATGGTCAATAGAACTCGTAAAGCTTATCGTAAGAAAAAATATATTGAATAGATTTTTACGCTAAATAAATAGAATGCACAGTATGGCCGGTTGAAATTTTGACATCGACTATATTCCTTTGGTTATGGACGGTCAATCTTTTAGGTATGAAAGTCTAGCAGAGAGAAATAACCAGAAAATATGCCGACAGTTGGAGAGAGGTCACCAAAGACGAAGCCGTTGACAACTTGGGACTTCAACTAAATAGAACGAATTACTAAAGTTTAACTTCGTAAACATTTATAAATATGGGAATTTTTAATTCTACTTCATTATTATTTTAATTAATTATAGTTAAATAAATCCTGTATATCTTCTATTTGTTCTAGAAGTGAATATCATGTACTAGAAATGACTTCTTCAATGGCGCCGTACGCCATTATGAAGTTCACAACATTCCTACTAGATTCTGTGCGACTTATATAAAATGCGTGTTTGTCATTTATTATTTTTTTTAAAAGTATCTTTCCTTAAAATATTTTATAGGACAGAAAAAAAATTGTGATTGATCGGGCATAAACGACTGTTCTGAATGGAGATAAACGCCATCGCATTTGCAGAGAAAGGCCCCCCTTTCATCTCTCGACCAAGTCCAGGAAATGTGGAGAAAAAATTCTTCCTAACACCTTTCTTGTGCACATTTGTGCACTATAAAGCCATAAATTATACCTTACAAGCTGTCAATTATTCAATTATCACTTAATTATTTTCTAACAGGTTTAATAGACACAGAAAATGAGCCCTTTTGTATACACAATAAGTACTTCGCTTGACCAGGATCGACACCTATGACGTCAGAGCAATGGCGCCTAACATCGGCGATCAAAATATGCATATTAAGAAATTCAAACTTTGAATCGCTGAAACATCAAAAATATTAATTTTCTAGCAAAGATTTTTAAATATATGATTTAAATAGCATATAAACTTTGTCATATCAAAAAATTTTGAGACGTGATAAAAACCCTTTAAGTACACATAAGAAAGACGTGCTGGTGAAATATCTTGCTGAACATTTGGTGAACCATGCTAACATAAGTTAAGAGGAGCTAGTCCTCTTGTGTTGCATTTTTATTGATACTTTCTGCTAAGCCGACTCTTCTTATTAAATTCAACTATTTCTTTCTGATAATCATAACTTTTGAAAGTCAATAAAACTCTTTAACATTCTGAATTACACGGCCCATCAAGAGTGCAATTCTTGGCAATACATTGTATTTTTTTTGTTTTCTTAAATTGTTTGAATCATTCAATTTTCGCTAGTAAAAACTAAATGATGTCATGTCCTGGAAATCTCACAAGATTTAGAGCTTCTTCCACTTGCAAAAGAGGTATCAAGGTAGGTAACCACAAAATAATCATGATACATGTGCTTAGTATCTCTACATTACAAACACATGCCCATTTACTCGAGTCAGAAGTTTTATACATATACTTCTGAACCCTGTACCTTGACTTTGAGTGCAAGTGACCCCAAAGCAACCAGGATCATGTCAGGTATCAGCAGCTAAAAATCTCTGCATTTTTATTATGACCTGATCAAAGAACCTACTGCTAAAAACCTAGTGAAATTTACCTTTTCAACAATTTCTTGATTTAGGTTTTCAGATATCCTGGTCATATTTCCCTTATGAATTTGTAGTTCAGACACAAAGTGAGATGTACAGTAGGGGTATAACAATAAATTGTATATTGTGATACATTTCCATTGAAGTCGGTTACCGGTACAGCAATCTGTAAACCATTTTTTGATATGGTTCGAAAATTAGAATTCACACCATTTAACTGCTTTACAATTTTTTTTTGAGAAATAGGATTTTGTACAATTGATATGTCATGAAGGTTATGATCATAAATTAAACTTTTCATTTACTCCCAAAAATATAACAATGATAACTTTTGAGAAATAATTTTTATAACTTTTTATAGAACAAAAATGAAAAATGATATGTATCAATATATATTATGATACAAAAATCAAAGATATTGATATATAATGATACATTTTCTGTGTATCAATACTCATCCCTAATGTACAGGTAGACAAATGGACAAACATGTTAATACTCTATATTCTCAAACTCTGTTTATGGGGTACTGTGACAGACAGACATTATACTGTAAATGCATTTAACCCTTTCCTAACACTAGTGATTAACCTTACTTTGAATCTGCAATAGGGGTTATCTGGGGTAAATTCCACACTCCCTTGCTGACTATATATCCCCTTTCCTGTGCCCCATGCTGCCTGTAACTGGTTCCATTTAGCTATAATGGCATCCCTTTCATCGCCATAAATCTGTGGCAAAGTCACTGCTGTTGCAATATTTTCTAAGTTAGAAGTTGGCGGCTGTTGTACTTGAAGGGGATTTGTCTGCTGTGCTGCAAGTTTAATTGCAATTAAAATAATAATTTACAATTCCAAGAGAATCAGGATAAAAAAGACAATATCATTAAACATAATATAACCATATATATCCCCTTACCCAATCCTTTCAGCAAGTATTTATTTATCAATGCCAACCCACTTGTATTTATGCAGACCATTGTTTTGCAACTGCTGTGTGGATATTTCATTACCGTTTCATTTTAAGGAAGACATTTTCAATTGTAAAAGGGCATGAGCAATTCAAGCTTATATGACATAGGACATGTACATGCATATGGCAGTGAACTTTGCAATCTTTGACCCTTTCATATGAAAAGTGCATCCTCTAATACTGATCACAGATATTTAATCATGTATATACATGTATAGCATGTGAACTTTGACCTGAAATTTGTAATTACTGTGGCCAACCTGGGCATAAAATGCAATGACTGTGAAGATAAGGGTTCTCAATATTTAGGCTGGAGAACTGTATTCCACTGAATAACTAAGAAGTGGGAAGCATTTATGAGAGCATTTATGCCCCACTTCTTAAAGCGGGGCATAGAAAATAAATCATATATCGGTCATGAATATTCCTTAACAATTGTCAAGTACAGGAAAATTTATCTCTTCCCAAGCAAAACTTTTCTCCCAATACTTAAAGGCTGAGGTTTTCAACTGGTAGGTTTCTTCAGGAAAGTTTAGTGTGGGGTGGAACTTAACTGAAGCGGTTGTGAAGCCCTGAGGGAACCACGCTGACTGGTGTGTATACCAACCTATATACACAGGATGTTACCTGTATTACCGGTATCTGTATGTTTTCCTCAGACAAAGTAAAACAATGTCAGGGTATTCAGATGTGGTTTCCCAACAGCTAGATGAAATGAGAATTGAATCACCATCCTACTTTTTTTAAATAAAAGATACCACAGAGTCTGACACATCTGTTTCATATTTGGATATTTCACTAGAAATAGACTTTAATGGTAATCTAACAACCAAGCTTTATGAAAAAGGTGATGACTTCAACTTTTCAATCGTCAACTTCCCTTACTTATGCAGCAATATACCTTCATCACCTGCATATGGGGTTTATATCTCTGTTGATTTGATAGGTAAGAGCATGATCTACGTATGAACAATTTCTAAAATGAGGTAAATTATTGACAAACAAGTTGATGAAACAAGAATATCAGCAGTCTTGTTTAAAGTTGTCATTTCGTAAGTTCTATGGTCAATACAATGACCTTGTCAGCAAATACAATTTATCATTAAGTCAAATGCTGACTGAGGTTTTTCATACTAATTGTTAGGCCATTATTTATACGCTGAATTGTCGACAGATTTTTCCATTATTACCCTGACAAGGAGCACACGGCGGGTGTGACCGGTCGACAGGGGATGCTCACTCCTCCATGGCACCTGATCCCACCTCTTATGTTTTAAAGGTCCTTGTTTGCTCTGCTCCAAAATTTGTACAGTTTACATGACTTCTGAGCTTGAATACTGTTCTTATCTCCATACATTTCATTTTTCCCTAAGGATCCATAATTCTTAACATTTTATGCAGACATACTCAGTCTGCTACTTTCTCTTCTGAGACTGGTTATTTTACTGTAACTTTGTCCCCATGTCTCGAAGAAAAGTGACACTTGTCATAAATTTTCTCTGGAACAATATTACAATGTTGTCATAATTATAAAAAATTAGAATTATAATTAAATTTAATTACATGATGCTTCCAACGCGGGTAGGTGTTTTCTACTAAAGTAAAATCAATTTATGTGTAAATTATGTTTCGACAATCTATAATGATTGCATAAGTCTTCTTACATTGTAAATCAAAGCAAAAAAAAAAGCTCTAAGATGCTTCTCTATCACATTTGCAAATGGGTTGGCATCAAAAGTCTGTACATTTATGATAGCCAGACAAGGTATACAAGATACATGTATACACAGCAGCAGGTAACAACATGACAATCAATTTCTAGTATCCAGTCTCAAGCTTAAATTCAGCTGATTAACAGAGATTCACAGACCGCATAAGTTTGAAGGTGGTGCTTATTTCCTCCCCTTTAAATTGCAAATCAATGCAAATATTTTAGAATTAAAAGATTCAAAACATGATAATTTTCTGTTTTAAAAACTTAAATGACCTACTTCCAAGTCCAAATCCAAATGAACTTTGACCTGTAGTGGTGGTGCCTGTTCCCCCTAGACCTCCTCCGAAACTCTGAATATAAAAAAAGTCTACGTTATCATAACATATAAGTGTAAAACAAACACATTACCAATTAAGTGAACAAATGAAAATTACATACACATTCATAAACACTTTTTATCCAAGTGATCATGTATATAATGTATACATACAGGCATTAAAAATAAACCAGAAATGATTATTCACATCACAAGAGTGTATCTTTTGGTCAGCAATTTATAACTCTAACCCTAGAGTGGCCTGACTTATTTTTAATAGTCCTTTGCTTAGGTTTTGAAAATCAGCAATTAAATAACTTGAGTAATATTTCACAAAACAGTTTAATAGAAAATGTTATATTAGAAAATGAAGTGGTACATTTTTTTAATAACTAGCCATACAGGAAATCCTGTGGCTCCTCCAAATGCAGATGTGCCTGCGCCTGTGCCTCCAAATGAGAAGCCTGTAGAGGTAGTTGTGGCAGGTGCCCCACCAAACGAGAATCCTGTAGATGTACTGGTAGCCGGGGCACCACCAAATGAGAAACCAGTCGCTGATGTGGCAGCCGGGGTACCAAAAGAAAAACCAGTGGCTGCTGTTGTTTTTGCCTGTGTACCAAACCCTCCTGTCATTAACAACAAACCAAATGCATTTTACTTAATAACAAGACATTGAAAAGTAAAAAATAAAAAACCTGATTTTAGGTTGATGAAAAGGGATGGTTTTTCATATATATATATATAGGTCTATTATACTTTGTGATTGCCAATATAAAAAATTTTATTTTTGATATATTGTTTTATAGTTGCTATATTGTTCAAGCTGAAAGTTAGACATTATATTCATTGCCTTCTGGACTGTTATATTAACATAAAACTTATCTCAAAATATCCCTTAAATTATTAGTTCATTTACTAGTAGTTAAGTCTTTAATTTTCAAAATTATTATTACTTCTGTTACTCTCTTGCAACAAGGCAAATGTACTTTTACAAGTACTTTTTAGAAAATAGATTTTAAAATATAAGTACTGTCCAACTTATTTTTTGGATTTTGTAAATAATGTCTGTATTGTATATTATGATGTAATTTATCCTCATGAATTTTTTAAAGTAATAAACAAAAATCATGAAAAATCTCTCATCTGGCAGCATGCAACAAAGGCATATATATGTGCGTTATAATTTCATGACAAGTAAATTTTAGTGATTTTAGAAATTGGATTAACATTAGTTGTTACGGTTACACACTGGTGATCTCGTCTCATCCCATGGTTGATGAGTAAAAGATGAGATCACCCGTGGGTAACCAACAATGGAATTGTTACAATTTGTCTACAAATCCTGTTAGTTATAGAATTGTTTGTATTTTATATTATGACAACTTATTTATCATTTTCAGAAAATTTTGGGAAGTTTCTAGTATGCCGGTCCCCAGAATCATGCAACTTCAAATAAGTGGTTAGTTCCCTTGCCATTGCTTTGCAGAATGTAAACAAACTGCCATTTACCCCTTAACTTCAAAATGTATTTGATTGAGTGATTAGGGTTAGAGCGCATCGTTTTAAGATTGGAATTGTTTTATAAATCCAATCTTGAATCTTTCTGACTTTGGGCTAATTCATGCAATACTTGCTTACAAAAGACACTGCCAAGTAATTTTTGTGACCAAAAACTTGCACAAATCAGCCTAATATGAAAACATGCTTATATTGTGTAAGTTATTGATAAAAGACACTTAATGAATTATGCTTGAGCTTGATATTCATTCCTGACCTAATTTCCCAATATTCACAATATTTTTCCTTTCAAATTGATCATGATCCATAGTTCATCAAACTACTAGTACTGTAAATAGTTTACACTTGTTAAATTCCTGCATTTCTCACAAAAATATCGCAATTTCAGTAGCATTTCATTTTGAGTTCTATATGCTATTTCCTCATTATGTCAAAACAAAAGTGATGCAACTTATGAATATTATGAGCTTACATCAAAAATTGATCATGTCACTACATTCCTAAACAACAGAAGATGGAGTTGTATCTATAAAGCAAGCATGTTATATTAAGAAAGCTTTTGATTCTCTTTTAAAAAACTGTGTTTAAAAATCTGCTTTTTAAACCCCATTTTCCCAAAGGAATACAAATTTCCACTGAATTTTGTGATATGTGGCCTTTTCCTTCATTTTGTAGATTGCTCACACAATTTATTATAGCATACTGTACACAGAATCGGTGGCATCTATTTTAGCACCATATTTATAGGGACCAGTATGCTACAAGTGTTCCGAAATTTTTAAACTAATAAATGCAAATCATAAACCATCCATATGTCATTTGGTAGCAGTTGTTTTTTTTTCTTCTAACATTTACTGCAATGTCAGAATATGTAAATGATAAACACTTTCAACATTTGGGTCAAAATTCTTTGATCATTCTGTTTACTGAAAGAAAATCCAGAAGAGGTTGTAGCAGTAGGCTGTGTCCCAAAACCGAGCCCTTGCAAAAGAAAACTACAGAATGAAATTGAAGAATCAATTAGTATGGGAACTATTTATAGCAAAGGGAAATTCCACTGGCCAGTGAACATGTACCTCTCTGATGTTATAAAGACGAACATTTATTAAAGGTAATTGAATTAACAATTAGAATGTGGGTACTTAAATATCAATGAGAAGTTGTAGGAGTGGCGTATAAAGTGTACGCATGCAACGTATTAAAAGGTAGACTAGCATTTATATAGAGTCCATACCTGATGATTGAGTTGACGTCCCAAACCCAAAAAATGGTGCTGATGATGTTGTACTTGTTCCACCAAACGGTGTTGCACCACCTCCTAGGCTAAATGCCATCTTCTATTGCGTCTTTACCCTCTTTAAATAAGTTTTTTCATGGTATATTTATAATTTTATTTTACTATTACTACTACGTTCTTTTCCCGCTCGTCTCTTTTTACCTTCTATGTTAAAGAGTCAATCAAAAGGGGCACAATTGATAACTACGGAAGCGTATAAGTGCCACGTAATATTTTTTCAAAGTTGGTTTTGTTTTTGTTTGATTGATTGTTGTTTAACGTCTCTCTCGAGAATTTTTTTACTCATATGGAGACGCCACCACTTACCGGTGGAAAGCTGCAAATTTTTGACCTATACTCGGCACTTAGGGCCATTGAGCAGTGAGGGATCTTTTTCGTGCCAGCACCTATTGCGACATGGGACCTCGGTTTATACGGTCTCATGCGAAGGACCGGTCTCCACGTCCCACAGTGGGATTCGAACCCGCGACGTAAGGATCAATTCCTTACTTCGCGACTCTAGAGCAGACGCTCTACCACTGCGCCACGCAGGCGACTTTAAAAAGTTGGTAATACCAACTTTCAAGTTGGTTTCCCAACTTTAAAGTTGGCAATTCCATCTTAAATCATGGCTTTTCCAACTTTAAAGTTGGTAATTCCAACTTTAAAGTTGGAAAAGCCAACTTTAAAAGTTGAAATTCCAACTTAAATCTTGGCTTTTTCAAATTTGAAGTTGGCTATTCCAATTTTAAAGTTGCATGGCTTTTCCAACTTTAAAATTGGTAATTCCAACTTTGGCATTTCAGTCCAACTTTAAAGTTGTTAATTCCAACTTTACAGTTGGAAAAGCCAACTTCAAATATGGAAAACTAAGATTAATTACCAACTTTAAGCTTAAAGCTTTTCCAACTTTAAGCTTGGCTTTTCCAACGTATATTTGAGCTCTTCTAGCCCTTTTCCTAGGCTTTTTTCCTTTATTTTAAATTATTACCAACATTATTAATGTAAAATTAATACTCTGAAATAGATTAGTGAGCAATTAATCTGTGTCAATCATTTTTTACCCTGGCCTTCCTCATGACCTGACATAAATTACATAAACTTCCAACTTTTAATCAAAAACCCTTACATTTCTTTTGGTCCATCTCATATAATTATAGTGTCTATGTTGTATATGCTGAAATCCATATAAAAAATTTTGATCAAACGCAACTCGCGATTAAATATTCTTGCGATTTGACGTCTAAGAGGCATTTCGCGATATTAAGTACTCGCGTAAAATTAGGAATCTACAGTACGAGGAGTGATCAAAAAGTTCGCGAACTAATTGAATAACTTCCTTAAAAGACATAAAATGAGGTTTCAGTGTTTATTATTTTTTAAAGTAGTCCTCTCCGATTTTAATGCACATCTGCCATTGTTCTGCCCATGCGCGAATCACGTGATCCAAGCAGTCACGTGACATGCTCCGTAGCAGTCTGTTCAAAGAAGCTAAGAGATTTTTCCGAGTCTTATATTTCTTACCGTGCAAGTTATTTTTCATAACAAGAACAGTCCATCTGTCAGAAATGGCCAAATCTCGGCAATAGGATGGGTGGATAAGGATATCCCTTCCCACAATTAGTATGCTGACCCATCACAACCCGAGTTCTCAGTCTCGGGAGCGTCGTTTATCAAATGTGGATAAAGTATGGGCGCATTCTTTTTATCATATCTTATATGTTTAAAGTCTAAAGTAAACGATATTCTAGGGATTTAATGATTATAGTATTGCTAAGAATTTCAACCATTTTTCTAATTGTAACTTGACGATGTTTCATAACAAATTGCTCAGCTAAGAACACGTCCTTTCCCCGGTTTGCTTTCGCTGGGGAACAGAACAAACATCATTTTTAACCATCTCCCCGCCTTCACTAAAACAATCAATCCAATTAATGATTGAACGTCTGGTAAGTCTTTTGTCTTCATAAACCTTGTTCAAATTATCATCTTCTACTGCAAAAGAATTTCCAAGATATACGTTAAACTTTACAGCCGTTCGTTGCTCGAGTACGACTGAGTCAACCATTTTTTGTCACAAGTGACCTACATATTGACGTCATTTTCACATTGTGACGTCACAAACACAGAGCAAAAAATTATGTAACATCTGTTATTTATAGAACATTTGTATGACTATATGTGTGCCAAAGTCTTTAAAAATAAACACAAACTTTCAAATTAAGTACCGCTCTTAAATTCACTTCAGTTTCAAAGTTAAGTCACTGAAACACTTTACTGAAGTCTCTTGGACACTCCACACTTCGATATCTTTGTTTGTTTTTGTTTTTAAAGCATCCTTATTGAAAAGATATCGAAGACCGCCAACTTCGTCATTGCTTTATAGAGACTAGACTTTGACCCGTGCGTGCACGGGTTGACATTGTTATGAATGCATCCATGTGCATATCGGACATTTACAAAATAGATACATCGACACATTCATATTGTAAGGTACTTTTGAAATAAACAATGAATGTGAATATAATTCTGTTTTTTTTTTTTTTTTTTTTTTTTTTTTTGTTCTTAAAATTGGTGCGTAACGGCGTAGCGCAGAATGGGTTTGACCCCAAGTTTAGCTATCAATCAAGTCATGAGTTCGAATCACGCCGGAACTTACATAAATTTCACCTTTCCAAACAAATTTAATAAAAGAAATTATGGATATTTATTGAAAATATGACAACAACAAAGAGTTGAGCACTGCTGATACATATCAAGCAAAGTAATGAAAATGAAGAAATGTGCTAAGCTGGTATTTTTACACAATCAGTTATTAAACTAAATGTGTAATATATTTTGTAACAATTTTAACACTGCAGGTCTCAACTTGTTCAAAATATGACCTCAACAATAAAAGAGTTATTAAGCACTGCTAATACGTATACTTTATATGTTCACAGGTTATAGACATGTATATAATCTGTAAAAGCAGAAATGAAAATGGACAAATGTGCTATACTGGTATTTCTACACAATTTAGCAGATGTGAAGCAGAACAGATTATCTTGCAAATACCCCCCCCCCCCCCTCAAAAAAAAAAAAAAAAAAAAAAAAAAAAACATACTGGTTGTTCAAGAGATCATAATAAAAATTAAGAATATCAAATGTACTTTATCAAATACAATGTATATGATATAAGAAAATGCTCTCATGACTGCCTGTTTTGATAAAAATTAATGTAATATCCTTGAATTAGTAATATTTTGAATCGATTCGATTAAAACCCAAACCTCGGTTTTTGAATAATTTTGATTCGATTTTTGGAAACAATATGTTTGCTTCAGTTGTGTTTAAACCTGTTATAGTTATTGAAAATTCAAAATAAATAGTAACCAATTTGAAAGTTTTTTTTTTCATCTTTTATGATTCAACAAATGTAATGTGTTTTACTTTTTAGCTCACCTGAGCTGAAAGCTCAGGTAAGCTTTTCTGATCACATTTTGTCTGTCGTCAGTCTGTTCGTCTGTCTGTCCGTCTGTCTGTAAACGTTTCACATTTTCGACTTCTTCTCCAAAACCACTGGGCCAATTTCAACCAAACTTGGCACAAAGCATCCTTGGGTGAAGGAGATTCAAAATTATTAAAATGAACAACCACGCCCTTTTTCAAGGGGAGATAATTAAGAAATATTGAATTTTTTGGTAAATCTTTAAAAATATTCTTCTCAAGAACCATTTGGCCAGGGAAGTTGAAACTAATGTGGAAGCATCCTCAGGTAGTGTAGATTCTAAATTGTTAAATTCATGACCCCAAGGGGTAGGGTGGGGCATCAATGGGGGGTTGAAATTTTACACAGTAATATATAGGGAAAATCTTTAAAAATCTTCTCCTCAAGAACCTTTAGGCCAGGAATGTTGAAACTTATGTGGAAGCATTCTCAATTTTGTTTAAATCTTATCATGACCTTTCATGACCCTTGGGGGTACGGTGGGGCCACAATGGGGGAGGGGTATCCATGGGAGTATTTATAGGAAATTTTTTTTATGAATTTTCTTTTCCAAACCTATTTGACCAGAGAGGTTTTCTGAAATGTAAATTCATATAATGTACATTTAAATTTGATGATGACGATCACAGGGGTCATGATAGGGTACAACCACAAAGGGAGAGGGGAGAACAAAATATTTACTGTAAATTTTACATATGAAAATCTTTGGAGAAAAAAGTTAGAATATGTTTCAAAAATTTAATATAAAAAACTAAATTTGTACAGATATTTCTGATTTGTTAAAGCTGTTTGGGTTAGAGTAATTGACCATTAAAATTAGTTGCTCAAGTGAGCGGCGTGGCCCATGGGCCTCTTGTTTATGCTAAGTATAAAATATATGGGATACAAAAATTATCATTATCTTAGATAAGCCAAGCAAGGGTATCTTAAGTAGGAAAGTAGGAACTTGAAGGTACTTCTTGCTGCAATAATGAAGTCTTTTCCTGGGGGGGGGGGTACAACTCCTTTTGGATCATACAATATCATTTCCATTTTTTAATTGAAATCATACAATGTAATCAGAAACATTTTAAAATAAATGTTTCTGATTTAATTATTCAGAGCATAATTTTTTCCAAAATATTTAGTAAAGTCTGAGTTTAGTGCAAACTTTAAAGTTTACTGACCTTGACCGATTTTATTTTGGGACAGCCAATGAGAATGCATGGTTAACTCACCCTATATTTTACAAACGATCGATATTTTAGCAGCATTGATAGAATGAACTGTACGGGCCGCAAGGGCTGACTTCAGACTACCTATCAAGTGTAGTTACCATGACAACCTTTACATATTTTGAAGATCTAGCCTAGAACAGGCTGTCCCTTCTATATAACGTACTGAACATCAATAACAATAATTTACATATTTCACCCACTTTTTTTTTAAAGTTAAAGAAATTTTTGGAGGTGAAGTTATAAATCTCAGCAGTGAAGGTAATAGTAAACATGGCGAACAAATTCAAGTTGCAATCATTTAGACACATTTCAAATTGAAAATATCGGTTATATTGACGTTATTTAATTATTTCGATTTATTTCAAAGTTAAGAAATGAAAAGAATGCCTACTTCACCAAAATGTGATTCTAGCTGCAGTTGTAACACCCCCTCCCCCTTTTCCCCTCAAAAAAGCACAAAAGAAAGGAAGGATAAAATAAAATCGGGTAGTTACATTAATATTGCTTCTACGATCATGAGCTTTTTGCCTCCGTTGAGATGGCCAGAGACATAAATAACATAATTATAATAAATGTGTCTCCGAGATGGCGAATGATTACCCACGTGGCCACAATATCACATTTGCATGGATAAACTCAGAAACAATAATACAAATACGTGTAAATTTTCATTGGAAATTTGCTGTATATTTTGTTCATATATATTTATGATTTCTTATAAGAGAAATTATAAAATAACAAATATATATCTACTTAGTACAAATTACTTTTGTCTTCTCTGATTTGAACACCGTGATTTAGCGTGAATGTAATGCGCACGCGCAAGATTGTAAAATCCCAAAAATCCAGATGATTTCCGGAATTTTTTGAGGAATTTTCGTTGATTATTAATTAGGGAAGCTTAATTGAGAAAAAATAAAAACAAATTGATAATCTTCAAGTACCAATGATTTTTAAAATATATAAAACAAAAGACAGTACTCTTCCGATTTATCGGTATTAAAGGCCAAAAATTCGAGTCTATTATTTTAATATAGTAGTAGATAAAACTTTACTACTGATCTCGGGAATTTCCGTTCAACGAACGATAAGTATTGCGGGGAAATGCACGAGGTTTCCAAAGAGGTTGAATACGATCGAGGATCGTGGGGGGGGGGGGGAGGGGGAGATATAATATTTTTGTCCTGTCTGTTCCACCTACAAAAAACTTTCATATAGCCTTTTGATTCGATACAATCACAGGTGCTTGGGGACGTGACCCCCTCACTCCCCCCTTGTCCCGTACCCCAAGGGTTCTTTGACTTTTTATATTTTATTTTAAAAAAGTCAAAGAAACCTTGGGGTACGGAACAAAGGGGGGGGGGTCCCGTCCCCAAGCACCTACTGCACCTGTAATTGTATCGAATCAAAAGGCTTTATTTGTTAAATATGAAAGTTTTTGCAGGTAGAACAGGACTGAAATATTATGCCCTTCCCCCCTCCCCACGATCCTCGATTTATGAAGAAAACCTGGTTCCCTAAGATATATATACATTTTGGAGCCTCCGGATGCGCCGCATTTTACACCAAGCCAAGCCGTTATATACAGCTGCAGTGTTCCATATAACATCGATAGACTGTATACCTCATTCTGTTTGCAAACATTTACCAATAAATATGGGTCATGACAGACATTCAACTGGAGGCAGGTAACGAGATAACGAAACTGTCCTGTCTAAACACTGAAAATGTCGAAGCCGCTTGTGTTCGTTTCCCGTATTCCCCCTCCCCAGGGCATGAAGATGATAGAGGAGTTCTGCACAGTGCGGGCAATGAGGGAGGATCGTTTTATTACCCGAGAGGAGATGCTGGAGGGTGTGGTCGGTGTAGAGGGAATTCTGTGTCATCCCCCTGACAAAGTCGACAAGGACGTACTTAACGCCGCAGGTATGTCATGTGTATTGGATACATAATAGGTCGTGAAGAGTTATAGTTCTTTACTTATTTAGTTGGAGGAAAGGGGGTACATGTAACTAACCAAACCGTTACACTTGGCCTGATTTCTAAGCGCTCATATTTTTCGGGGTGGGGTGATGTGGGTTGGAGTTGGGTTTAAGAGCCATTATTGACGAACGAGCAGGGTGAAACTTTTTTCAAATTTTAAAGTTATTAAAATAGAAAATATGATGATTAAAATTATAATGTGTTTATTATTAAATTACCGCAAAGTCAAAAAAAAAAAAATTGATAGTTTAAACAGTAGACGGTAATCGGTGTGTTTTTGTGAAATAAGAACGAAATTATATGACTTTTGGAAATTAATGCTTGCATATTTGAAGATATGTACACAAAATATTTTAACATTTAATATTGATCCTGACAATATTTTTATCCTTGAATATATAGGACCAACTTTAAAAAGTGTGAGTACCATGTCCGTTGGTCTTGATCACATAGATCTGGGCGAGTGTAAAGCCCGGGGTATCAGTGTTGGATACACACCTGGTGTACTGACGGACGCAACAGCAGAAACCACGGTCGCCCTACTTCTGGCCACGTCACGTCGACTCAAAGAGGGTAAATATATGTACTCCAGTGTAGATGAACTCCATTATTTTTTGAAAAGATGAAACTATTCATCGTCTTTCTAGATTCTTACTTAGAAGATACACGCCCAAAGGCATATACTAACTACATGGAAAGGATCTCAAAAAGGACAAGATAGGTTAAGACCCCTTTTTGACTCCTGGTTTGGAGTGTCTTTTAGAATGATGCAACAGTTTATCAATAAAAACCTGTTGTCACCCCTTCCACAAAATGAGTATTGGTTCTAAGTTATGGGAAACACGGAGGTCACGGGAGGGTCAGAAAATACGAGTATGTCGATTTCCGAGTTTTCTCATTTTTATGCAAATTTTCATCGATTTTACAGTACATTTTGTTTCAGAAAACATAGAGCACAAGCTTGCCTATCTACCAAATTTATATATTTCATACACTAGTATCAGATGCATCTTGTGTATAAAAATCTCAGATAGGCAAGCTTGTGCTCTATGTTTCCAGAAGTGAAAAGTATCAAAAATTTAATGAAATTCCATCAGTATTGAGGAAAATCGGGAAAATGTCCTACTTCAGCACCTTTTTGTGTCCTCCACGTAAGCTTTGAATAGAAATTAGTGCTTGTTTTAAAACAAGCATCATTTTAAGTTTTTTCACTACAAACTATCGCAATTTTAACTGTGTTCTGATTTTTACATCAAATAAGGGGCCAGAATCGGCCCCCTTACCAAACCTTGTCCTTTATATTTTGAACAGAATTCAGATTATATACAGGGACGTAGGATCGTTTTTGAAAGGGGGGGCAGCCAGAGAAAAAAATTTCAACTTACCTGAAAAAACTTGACAAGCAAATTAAAATTTAAAAAAAAAAAAAAAAAAAAAAAAAAAAAGGGAAAATTGTCCGAACTCGAAAATCCTATTTCGGGAGGGGGGGGGGGGTGTTAGGTAGGTTCCAACTTCTTTCAGTACCAAATTTTATTCATACACAACTACAAAACCCTTATTTTACTATTCGACAACATAAAGTTGGGGGGGGGGGCGGCCTTTCAATTAACATTTCAATTAGTAAAAAAAAAGTCTTTGGAAAACAAGTGGGGGGGGGGGCAGGCCCTTCTCCCCCCCCCCCGTTGCTACGTGCCTGATATAACCAAGAGAAAATAGGTTATGCTGTTATATTTGTACTTTATTTTTCAACTTCAACTATCGAACAACTGTCCACTCTCTCACAAGAACAGCAACAACAAGATTAATTTTTGATACATTTACCATGTTTACAGCTCAAAAAACTTTTTAACATAACATGCTTTTTGTGAACTAATTAAACGCACATTTTGGAAAAAAATACGGGTATATTGCCACTAAACAAAGGTGCAAGCAAAAGATATTATATGGGATTATATTTATGATACCGCGAGTATGATTTTTTAATAAAACTTCAATTCTGCCTTATTTTTTGGATTTTTCATATGGAATACATTGTAAATGTTTATTAGAAGATTAATTTATGAAAGAAGACAAATAAAAATATTTTTGGACCCGGGGTGTATATTGGTGAATGGGGGGGGGGGGGTCCTGTCCACAAGCACCTGTGCAATGTTCATTATCAATCATGAAATAAAAAATAATAAAATTGGAAAATTCATCATATCTTTGGACTGCGTCTTTCTTTAGTAGCAATATATTCATTTCCAAAATTTGCATTCAATTAGTTCACAAAAGCATATGTTAGATAAAAAAAGGGTTTTGAGCTGTACTTGTCCTTTTGTGAACAAGTAATATAGATTTAATAAATAAATATTAAATATATAAATAAACTTAATAAATACAGCTGTATTAAATAAATATGAAATACATGTAATTTGTTTGTAATCAATTTTCCGTATCTTTTCAGCGTTTTCCGCAGTTGTTGATGGTGGCTGGGGATCTTGGGCTGACGGTCTGTATTTGTGTGGGAAAACTTTGTTTGAATCGACAGTTGGAATTGTCGGATTAGGGAGAATCGGATTGGCTGTTGCTAAGCGATTGCAGCCTTTTGGCGTCAAGAAGTTTCTATACAGCGGGAATACAAAGAAAGAATACGATGTGGAAGTTAAGGCTGAATTCGTAAACTTTGAGCGCCTACTGCAAGAATCTGACTTTGTCATAGCTTGCTGTTCTATGAACAAGGACAACGCTGGATTGTTCAACAAAGGAGCCTTTAGTAAAATGAAGAAAGGCGCCATTTTTATCAATACAAGTCGTGGGGTGCTGGTTAACCAGGAAGATCTGTATGATGCATTAAATTCAGGAACCATTTTGGCGGCAGGGTTGGATGTTACAAGTCCGGAACCCCTACCCCGTTATCATCCTTTGCACTCTCTAAAAAACTGTGTGATAACACCCCATATTGGCAGTGCCACGGTGTACGCTAGGAATGCAATGGCAGAGCTAGCAGCTAGAAATTTAATAGCAGGCTTGAAAGGGAATGAGCTTCCATCGCCTGTACCCAGTTAAAACTTTATAAATACGTCTAGTTATTTTAAATTAAACAATTTAGGTGCTTCATTTGTATTCACTCCATTCCTCTGCATGGGGTATTAAAATATGTATCAAGTAGTAAATTCTTGTTTTTTATGTTACTTTGTCTTTTTTGTTAATGGAAAGACATGCTGAATTTTAAGTAAAAAGATCAAACGAAACATCCATAGCAGGCCCGTAGGAAGCAATTTCAGTTGGGGGGACACATGCATACATTTTGAGTTGGGGGGGGGAGCACTATCAACTACCTAAAATTCCTTGAAAAGCAAACAAACAAACAAAAAGGTCATCAGGCGTTTTTATTGAGGGGGCACAAGCATATAGTATCTAAGTTTTCTATAGTAATCTATATAATCTATATATCGGCAAAATTATTGGGGGAGCACGCCCCCCCCCCCTCGGTTACTACGGCCATGCATAGCATTATAAACAAGTGTTATCCTGTGTGATAATTACTGCTGAAATTCTTTCCGATTGACTTTAAGCTCTCAGCTATATATTTCAATAATGAAAGTAATGCGATTCTTAGTTATAGCAATTGTTCATATAAAACGAATGATAATGAATATGGTAACAAGATTAAAAATCGAAATTGAGCCAAAAAAAAAGACCAACAACCGTTACAGTAACAAAAGGAAAAAAGCAAAAACAAACACCCCCCCCCCCCAAAAAAAAATCAACACATTATTTACACAGTACACTGTGTTATATCCATGCCATGAAGGAATACATTCTTTTAATGATACTATAAGATCAAAAGAATTAACACTGGGGGAGAGTCCAGGTCTTTTTATTAATCCACAAAACTGTGTACTGTTTAAATGATAATTTAAACAGGTAAAATTTCTAATTACACTAAATCTGATGTTTAATTTTCATGAGCAAATCTGCCATTACTGTATTTCAATCAATAAGATAACGAACAGAGTTCGATCTCAAAAAATCTACAAACAATACAAATCTAAGAACAGAAGCATAAAACACGGGCCCCTGTAAATTCCAGAGGTGTGATCAGGTGTCTAAGAGGAGTAAGCATCCCCTGTCGAACGGTCACACCCGCTGTAAGCCCTATCAGAAAGACGGAGCAATCTGTAGTCAAATTTAGTATAAAAATAAATGCCTAATAATTAGTATGAAAATCAGTAAATCAGTCAAACACGACCCAATGCTTGGTTGTTTTTGCTAACAAGATCATTTTAACGATCATAGATTTTACGAAATGCTGACTTAAAGCGAGGTTGTTGAAATCCCTGTAACATCAACTTATTTGTTAGTAGCATGTCTGGCTTTAAAAATTGATCGTACTCAGAGCATGCTTTTGAGTATTGAATAAGTTGGGAGACATAGACATCACATGCAGGTAATAGTGGAATATTACTATATAAATAAGGAAAGCTGAAGTAATCTCATTTGTCAAACAGTTTAGTTGTTAGTTGGCCCTTATAGTCTATAGTCAGTAAAATATCCACATATGAAACAGATGCGGTAGACTACGGTATCTCTATGTCGAGTTCATTAGGGTATATCGAGTCGATATATTGTTAATCGATAATACGTCGTCGATACATCTGAATGTCGAGTTGAATGCTACAGCAAGTGTTTTCTTCTTATGTAGAAGTTTTTGAATAAATTCTGCTTCATAGGAATACACTGTATAAAAACAGTTCGGCTAATAAAGGAGCACAGTTAGTGTCCTTTTGAATTCCAACAGTTCGTTGGAAGACCTGGTCTGCAAAGACTATACAGTTATTGTCAATGAGGAACTCCAGCATCCCTTTAATACTAACTTCAAAGTATATGTGTGTAGAATTGGAGTGATGTTTAGCAAAATTAATTTTGTAGATGACTGGTCACAAATTATGAAAATGTCCGAGTTCCATTTTTATTGAAGAAGTAGTTATGTATGATATCAAGAGGCCTAGTTTTTAATTTATCATGAGGAATAGCTTTATAAAGTATAGAAAAACCATTCGTTTTACGTTACTGACTTATGACAAAAATTGCTACTTCATATTTTTTAAAAGTTCTTCAGAGTTTTTGATTTACACATCTTCTCGAATATCCTGTAGCACAGTACGTCTGAAATTTCTCTTTACAGCAGAATATATTTTCGTGATGAATATAAAGGATGGGGCTTGGTAGAGCATTTGGTGGATACACGCCAATGTAATCGTAAGGATTTTTATGAAGTTTAGGAATCCAGCATTGGTAGAGCAGATCGAACTCGTTTTCGTTGACTGGAATGTTGAAAATATTAAAGAGTGAAATGTGATTTTGAAGAAATTCATCCTATATTAATTTTATAAGAAAAGATGATTAAATTCACTCATGGGCAGACATGGCAGAGAAATAACTCTAATATATATATGTATTCAATTTCTCGATTTCCTTAAAAAAAATCATCTTCAACAAAGATTTTGTTTCAATTATTGTCCCTTAAGATGCATACTAAATTTGCTTTAAAAAATCAAAACTATCTTCTGTCATTGGAAAATTTTTTGATTAAGAAAAAATTAATTTCAGTTTGTAGAGGGTGGTACATCGTCGCATGGCACGGCTTTTTCACAAACAGAATGGACACGAAAACCCGTTGCTTGCGACGAAGAGAGTGGTCCTCTATTAAAAGTTCTCTGCATACCAGTATGATCATATATATACTATAGCCATGTTTTAGAGAATCACCTTCCATAAAAAGAAAATAAAAACATACCAGTTTTTTGTATCTTTTTACTATGATAAAAATATAAAACAATGAAAATAAATTAATAATGTAAGTTTTCAATAGACATTGTATACAGTAACAAGTACAAAATTGTGATTGCTAAATGACAACATGAAAATTTTCTAACATTTATCATTTACAGCAACGTAAATAGTCAGGGGGAAAAATACTTATGCTACAGAGAGGAAGAACAAATAACTGTCGTTGTTTCGTCAATGTCGATTCCATAGTAATCGTAGAAATCCAAAAGTTAAGACCATTCAGAGTTTGAAGCACAAACAAAAATGATTATAATACAATTAGCATGAAAAATACTAATACTGAACAGGTATATGTCACTGCGCCAAAACAGATCGGATCAATGTTTATGAAGCTTAAGCACCAACCACACACTATAATACTGTGATTCCTTGAAAAGTAAATTACTAGTATCTTGATGTCCAAAACTAGAAATCAGAAACTTTCATTGTAGCCAACTCGTTTTGACAGAAGTGTTGGACTAGAATTTTTTTCATCCGAAGTCTTACTTGAAAAAACAAAAAAATGAGCGCATGTTAACGGGGTGTTGGTTGTACGGGGCGAATTTTACACGTAGCTTTCACAACCCCATTGTCCTTCCACATACACTTCTTGCAGTCTGCATATAATTCCATTTTTGCCCATGAGTGTCGTCCATTGTCCATAAAAGTGTTATCGAGTTTCCACGATTGGCTAGTTTTGGCTCGGGAGGACTGAGTTGGACGACCCACTCGCTTGGTGATTTGATCCACCTCTTCTTCTGTCATACTACTAGGGGATCGCGTCTGAGCTGCGGAGGCTAATTGAGGAGGAAGCTGTGGGTTCCTCTGATAAAACCATGGCGACGTCAGTGCGGGCATGCTTTTCTTTTCCGTCTAATACAGTAAGTTCCAATAGAGAAATGCTACTATTACGTAACAATGTCTCTTTTTGAGAGATCTTGTTTAAACAGTTTTTTATTTTTCAATCCAAGACTTTGTAAACACGACAGAATTAATCCAAGATAATGCTGGACTACTTGCTACTAGGTGACGATGACGCTTTGAAAACTTTCACCAAATAAGACTAGTACTATTATATTAAATTGTTAATCCTACACGGCAGGGTTCATCGAATCATTAATAAAGCATTTCTTGGTACGCGTTCAAATACTCGTAATGCATAAAAAAACTTTAATCTTGTACGAATCCGATATAATGAACAATAATCTGGAATGGTCTAACAAAGCCGAATACGGAATTAAGATCAACTGAAGAGAAGCTATTGATAATGTCAAAAATCTCTTATATCCGTTTAAAAATCACCTTGTAATACTGCCCGTCAGGTTAAATACACAGACAAGTTTACTCCAGGGGAACTAATGTGATGCAATGAAATATCCAATGCGATTTATTAGTGCCGGCCAATGAATGTAATCACGTGATTTAATGACGTAAGCATGTCATCGCTAGAATTAATAAATGTCAAAAATTTTTGAGGACAAAAAATCATAATCCAGATATTCATTGTTATCTTGTCATGAAAAGAAAAGAATGCTAGTGTTGGCCAAAAGTGTTAGCTAGGATTTTGGATTTAAAGCTATAGGAAGAACAGATGGTCCAAGTCTGCAGAATACTCTGGCCTAAAATAAAGAACACATTGTCTGGAGACCTCATGCATTATATACTGGGGATATGAATAAAATATTTGCATTTACTGCACAGTTTAAAAAAATCAATAGATATAAACTGAATGGATCCAACCTCGTGGTTTTAACATAAAAGGGGGTTTAATTCTTCAAAAGAAAGCAGGGAACGGAAATAACGGTTCCGGAATGTAATTTCTTTTGTATCAAGCGACGACGGTTCTCCCACAGAGAAAGTACTGAAAATCCATAAATTATTAAAACAATGAATAACTAAAGGTGTAAGGTACAAATAACCCGAGTCAATCAACCTTCTAACAAACACTGAAGCGATAAGACCCAGACTTTTAACATGATAACATTGAAATGGATATGTCAACAAGTTTGCTTGACACTTAAAAAAAGAAAATAAAGGAGGACGAGGTCATTCTTATAGTAATATACATGTATATACTTAGGATAATTGCTTTTAATAGGCTTTATGAGTATTGGTTTATATCATCCCTTGAGCAAATAATTTATATTTTTGAGCGGACGCCTTTTCATCATATTGCTAATCTTTGATTTTTGTGCCTCATGCACGTGACTTAATATTGGACAAAACAAGTTAAGAAATCACTTCCATTTAATTTGTATTCTGCATAGCACAAGAGAAATAAATGCGTAAATACACAGATTACATTTTCAATTGCCAGACCAATTCTATCATAAAAGGCTACAAGGGTGATGGAATTCAAGCAATTTAAACAATTTAAATCAATTCCTTAAATACAATGATGAAATCCCAGAAACCTTTCTAGTACGAATAATCAAGATAACAGCTTTGAGCAGTGTCCTATCCCCGGGAAACATTCTGTTGCTCCTTGTAAACAGACTACAGTCTATATTGAAATCACTTCCGGGGGTCAAGAGAAGCCACAACAAGAGTTCAATTTTTTGCACAGGAATATTCATGTATATGTACTAGTAAGAGAACTTTATGTCGTAACAGAATTACAAAATATCATCATGGCCGTAGGAACCGGGGGGAGGGGGGCACGGGGGCTGTGCCCCCCATAATTTTGCCGATATATAAAATTCTATAGAAAACATAGCTACTATATGCTTGTGCCCCTCAATAATAACGTCTGATAACCTTTTTTTGTAGGAATTTTGGTATACTTGATAGTGCCCCCCAACTGAAAATGTATGATTGTGCCCTCCCCCCCTCAAAGTGAAATTGCTTCCTACGGGCCTGACCATGCGTTCTTGTGTTGTAGAGAGTCAGATTATGCATGATGAAGCATAGAGATGACTTTGTGGTATTTAACCATCAGCACCAAGATTAGTCCAATTCCTCATAATATCTATGCCATTTACAATTAAAGTTGTTAACGCTTGATACTAAAGTGTGTACTTAAACTATGTAAAAAGTTTACCCGTTGTTTCATCTTCGTCTGTTATGTAATTAATTTCTTTGGAAAGAGCGTCAGGTTTCACACAAATAGATGAATTTCTGTGGGACAGCAATCAGAAATGGACAATCTATGATAGTAAGAGACTGGATGAAATAGAAAGTATAGAGTGCAACTTAAGCCAAAGTGGTTAATGGACCTGTTCACTGCAGTGGGAGGCTATTCACAATTTTTATACACACCTTACTTGTCTGTTGATTTCGTTTTGTACGATGATTGTCCCACATTAAGGATAAATAACACAAGTAAGCCTTTCCAGAAATCTAACAACAATGTGTCTAATAGCTTTATGTTCATATAGAAATTTTTGCCAGAGTAACTAAATGTGGGAAATTTTGTAAGATTTGTAATAATTCCAAAAAATGTGCGCAAAAATTTGTACAGATTTATATAGAAAATGGCACACAAAAAATCTCTTCATAATTTTCAAAAAAAAAAAAAAATATCAACCCATGCATCATTTTATTATGTTGTAAATTTTGAATTTACTAGATGAAGGTAAATGCAAAATTTACTATAGTTATCACGTTGTAAATTTTGCAATTACCCCCAACTAGTAAATTCAAAATTTACAACATGATAACTTATTTGTGTGTTAATTGGTTTTTAATTCATGTAGGAAGTCACAAAAATCAGAAGGAATGGGTTTGAGGGTGAGAGCTACTTTTGTCCAAGAAAGCTGCACTCTGGATAGGTCAGAAGGCATTTTTCCAACACAGTGCTTCTGATGAAGTCAGCGGCATTGAGCGGTATTTGTCCAACACAGTGCTTCTGATGAAGTCAGCGGCATTGAGCGGTATTTGTCCAACACCGTGCTTTTAAGGATGTTAGCGGTATTCAGCGGCATTTTTCCAACACAATGCTTCTGATGAAGCCAGCGGTATCGAGCGGTATTTGTCCAACACAGTGCTTTTGGGGAAGTTAGCGGTATTGAGCGGCATTTCTCCAACACAGTGATTTTGGGGAATTTAGCGGCATTTGTCCAACACAGAGCTTCTGGTACAGTCAGCGCCATTGAGAAATTTTGCATTTTAAAGTTTTGATGATCAATACGATTGTGTTTGCATCCAATTTAATTAAAATCAGACTTAAGTGTGTTGGTGATTGGGACCTCTGATTGAGAAGTCTGATTTTAGATTGGTTGGTTTGAAGTATAACGTCGGACAAGGAAGTCGATGGATCCTCAAGCATTTTGTTTGACCACGTGTCCCCCCCCCCCCAAGAAGTTTTTAATTTCAAGGAAACCTATTTGCATTACTACATTTTACAGAAGTTTTAATTTTCTTTTTTTTTTTCTTCTATTAGCTACAGTATCAAAATGAAAACACTGTATACCGCAATAAAATCATTTTGAGAGATAACAACCAAACCCTATTTTACTTGAAGACATTAAACTAACGAGACTTCAAAATATTAACAGATTTTACCTTGGCATTTTTCACTTCTTTAATTGCATCTCTATATCAATGTGTGACTAAAATAATGATATTGTAGAGCCTTCACCCACACCTGACGTTACTTATTTTTCTTATAATAAGATACACCCCTACGTAATTTAATTCACGTTAATTACATATATATATTTTTTTGTTATAAGAAAAATTTAAGTAACGTCAGGTGCCTGTGCCTTGACCCTTTTGACCCGGAACTCGTTAAGTTGCATATCTCCTTGATGCCAGTACACACAAAAATCTTGTTATGTTGAAAATATAAGAACTTGTCTGATTTTAATTTTTGTATTGACAATGAGACATGAACACAGAAAAAAAACATTTTGAGTCAATCTGACAGGTATGTTGTATCAATATTTGCGTTTTTACATACAATTTTTAATACATGTATCTATACAAAGTCATAGTGATAGTAACCTACGTTTGTGTGGTATGTGAAAAATATAAGGTAGCAAAACAAGCTACAAGTAGACCCTAAGACTTGCGTAAGAAGATTCCAGAAAATGTAGATTGGTAGGAATATCCGATTGAATTGCTACCCCCATACACATGCTCTGAAGAACCGTATAGCTGGATCCATACATGGTCATCTTTCGTGACGTTGATAATTACCATCGCTGAAGCGGAGTTTGAACCACCCGGATGAGGAATTAAATTGGAAGCACGGGGGGTACCAGCCACCATTAACTGAGTGGAGAAGGCACTGCTACCAGTGGCAATGGTCCAGTGGAACATGTAGACACCCGTCACTGGAGCAATGAAGATACCATCCTCTGTGTGGTAGTGGTTCCCAAGGTTGATGTACGTTTTATCGAATCGGATTGTTACTTTTGTACTTATGCTGCCTTCAGTAGAAGACTTATATGCAGAAAATAACACAGGTGTCAAGTGGCTGTTCACGATATCTATTAAAAACAAAACAAGACCGTCATTGTGGAATATTAAACTATCAGCATCATGAATATAAAGGTTTTACGGGGTTTTTTTGTCTTTTTTTACCCCTCCCCCCTTTTTTGTAACGTAACAATCGAAATAGCAGTAGCTGTGCAACTTTATGATGCTCACTCCCTGCAGAGAGAATCATTTTAAAAAATAAACTGCTTTTCTACCACTTACAAAAAAATGCATCTTACCAGATCTAAGAGAGAGAACATCTACATTTGTTAAATCAGCATCACTTCTCCCAGTCAGAAGCTGTCCCAACACGCGCTCTGTGGCCAGTAGTCGACGTTCTAGCGTGTTTTCCAGATTGGACAGGCGCTCTTCTATACTGGTCATATTACGACCTTTCAAGAGGGTAGTTAGTTCAGTAGAAGAAACAATAGTAACAAGAAAAGGCAAAGCAATAACGAACATTTTGGAAGTTGATATGTTTTGTCTTCCAGTCCTTTGATGGTTTGTGGATGTGGATCGCCGCTTTAAGTACTTATATACTCAAAAACTTCGATCACGTGACTGTCATCTCTATATCCGGATTTCTGGGGGGATTTTTAAGACAAGTAGACTAATAATCGTACAAAGAAGTGAATAAGAGAAAGCTGTACATAGACTGTAAGGAAATACTAGTAACTTAAGGGTAGTTTTATTTCTTTTTCATAGGTCATACATATATAGGCATTCTGTGTGAGGCAAAGATTAAATATGCAGTCGAACAGTGCCTTTTCTTTACATTGCTATAAAAATGCACATCGTTTCCGATCAAAATAATGAGTTATACTCGATATCAAAAAACACTTAAGAACTATGCTCATAGTTTATAAATACATGAACTTACAAGAAACAGGGCCCAGCTCCTGAGAATGGTTTCTCTATATATAGATCTGATAGTTTTCCATTGGTTCTGCAGGTGTTGAACCTTTAACATACCACAAAATATTAATTTTATTTAAAATTCAAATGACCAGCAATAGTTCAATCTAAAATGGAATAGTTTTAAATATTGCAAACGAAGTTTGTCAAGGCAGGAAGGAAGATGGAAAGGCCCCAATGCCTTTTTTGTTTCAGTGTAGAACGAAAAGCTTTGAACACATCACCAAAATACTAGTACCACAGGTGCTTGTGGACAGGACCCTGATTTTGCGATGCATGTATATATATATATATATATATATATATATATATATATATATATATATATATATATATATATATATATATATATATATATATAAACAAGTACCTGTGCAATGGATGAATGTATAACCTACTTAGCAACTCCATTAATGCTGAAGATATAGACAATGCTCATTTTGATAATAAAGAATACACAAATTATGTGTGGTACTAGTACGAATAAAACGGAGTATGATAAAACCATTGAACCTAGTGACTTGGTATATATACTCAGTAATTTTATGAGTACATGTAGCTATCAGATTTCTAGAGCACAGTACTAAGTATGTTGGTAAACTTTTCCCTCGCCATTCGATTTGGTCCTCGCTTCCCTTGCACCAAATCCCATAAAGCTCTGGCTTGGAGTGTACCAAATTATTTGGTATCAGCAATAACCCTTTGTTCGAGGTGTGAAACCTGTACTAAAAATACACACTGACCTCAAGTTTGACTACAAGGAAGAGCAAAATACTCGTATTTTTAAGAGACAACATTGGTCCGATTTTATTGACGTAATAGTTGAACACTTGGACGGTGAAGTTGGTGACATGTCAAGTTTTCCTGTTTGAATGAGTCGTTTCCTGAAAATCACTACTCTGTAGATCCTCGGAAATGAAATGAAAACCTGTTTTCACATTTATTTTGTGTGACACAGTAGTGTTTAAATACTGAAGATGATAAAATATATAGCATCGGGTCTGTAAAGATTAGAAATTATATTCAAATTCTTCTTTAAAAATGTTATTTGAAGATATATTGTATATAAATATGTATCTTACTGGAGTGTACTTGTGTACAGGCCCGTAGGAAGCAATTTCACTTTGAGGGGGCACAACCATACATTTACAGTTGGGGGGGGGGCACTATCAAGTACCAAAATTCCTTGACAAGCAAAAAAAACAAAAACAAAAACAAAAAAAAACAGTCATCAGACGTTATTGAGGGGGTATGTTTTCTATAGTATTCTATATATCGGCAACATTGCCGCTTCCCGCGCTCCCCCCGGTTCCTACGGCCATGGTGTACCAAGACTCTGGTTAATGTCCATTCCAATGACAGTGTTTGAAACAAATCAATCTGAATCACACGTGTGAAGTTTGAGATTTAATAAAATTCTATAAAAAGTTCACCCTTTCTGCAAAAGCCTAAAGACAGCAAAACTGCAGAAGCAGATGGAACCTCCTCTTCACTTCACTATCCAGTAAAAAGCTGCTAAGCTTATACACATGAATTCTTTCCACTATGAGTTCAGAATAATACTGTTATCTGCAGAATGCTTCCTGTCATTGTTGTACCACTAGGTTTTTTGCTTTGAACTATATACTCTTGTGTATAACTTTATGACAGTGAACACTTGTTAAATGACTTATTTATTATCAAGATAATGTTCTAAATCGTTCAAATATCTTTAGTCTATTTCTTAGAAGTCTGATTTCCACAGGTACGGCCTCAAACTGCTCCCCATCAATTGAATACCACACCTTTTTCTCCTGAAAAAAATAAAGAATCAGCTATTGTAAAATATGACCTTATATTAAACATCATGTTACAAAATCCAACTAAAGGACTATAAGTCTATTTTCCCCCTGTCTGACATGGAAATCAAAACAAGAGGCTCATGGGTCCTTGTGTGTACCTGTCACTGCCACATTTTTCTGAGCCACATCATGTGTTCATTAAAACATTTACATTCACTGAAGATTTTCCTCCTTTATTATCCCCTCACAACAAAGTTAGGATATAGTAACACCCCTTGTAGGTGTGTAATTGTGTGCATAATGCATAACAGAAGTGAAACTTTACATTATTTGCTGAATTGAATATTTGGACAAGCTGTGAGAATAAAATGACCCTACTGAATATAGTTTTTTCTTTTCTTTCTTTTTTTTAATTGACTGGTATTCTTACCAATAAAACTTTTTTTGTTTGCTATTAAGGAAGCTCTAAACACTAATGACAAATGTTTTTTGGACTTTGAAAAATTTTAACATATAAAGGTGTTCATATTGAATTTATCTACAAACCTCATTATCTTGAACTCAATGGAACCGAGGAAAAACTGAGATATATCCAAAGATTCGAGATATCAAGGGTAAATTCTTGATAACATATAATGCATATTAGAATACAAAAATAGGAAAAAGGTGACTCGACCCCAGATTTAAAAAAAAAAAATGGAAAGGGGGGGGGGGGGGGTCCATACCCCAAGTGCCTGTGTTCCTGAATGGCTTTATCGCTGCTCTGGGGGAGGTGATTGCTTGAGCAATCTTGATTCTTCAAAACAAGTTTCAGGGGTTGAAATTTTCCTGGAAAACCTACTAGCCCATGGGGCTAGCGATCAGTAAAAAATTACTAGCCCAAACCTCAAACTAACTAGCCCAACAATTTTTCATGCAAAAATGAAAACATAACAAGTTAAAGTTTCAATGGTTTTGGTGACAGAAACAAATTAAACTAGTTCTCAGTCAAAAGAAACCAAAGTACATAGAAAAGCAAAAGTAAACTGACGAGAATTTTTTTCCATTCTGCTAGTCTGACGAAACTATCGTTACATTTAAAATAACTAGCCTAAGTCTTAAAACAACTAGCCCCTGGCATCGGGCTACCCTATATTTCAACCCCTGAAGTTTGAATCAATTCAAAATTTGATAATTTGGAGTCCTGTAGCATTTTTTCTTAAATCTACCCTAAATGAGGATGCTCGCACATATAAATTTGTAAATTTGAAACCTTAAGATCCTTGAAAACATTTTCATAGATTTTTCCATTATGCTTTCAATTAAAAACTTTGAACTCTCTCAATCCTGTCCAAGGGTTCATAATTTAAACAAATTTAATTCTTCAGAGATTGGTTGCATAAAACTAAGACAATTGGTAGCCTTTTATTCCTGAGAAGATACTGATTTCTTTTTTACTAAAAGGGGATATTAAATTGAGTATATTCATCCATCTTTCTGTCTTTCCATCCATCATTCAGTCTGTCTTTAACACTTAAATTTCTGAATGATATGCAGTCAGACAGACAGATGTTTGCCAAGTAAAAAAAATGTGATCAGAACATCTCACCTTAGCTTTCAGCTCATGACCAATGACATATAACACCATACAAAAACAGATAAAAATAGGTCACCTGACTTACACAGGTAACCTTATTAAGCACACAAGTACAGCTGGAGTTCATGATACACATATCTGATACTACTTGATTCATAACTATTTATGCAAACTTGAAGTCACAAGCTATGACTCTGTCATTTGTATTTACATTGGAATAAAGTTACTCAAGTTGTCTATAGTGTATAGAAAAACAAGGGTGTGACACACCTTACCCAAAGATGGATGAACTGACAAGATTTGATGATCCTATGTCATGCAGAGTGTAACAGATAGGGCTGGGACGATTCAGGGTTCAATCGATTCGGTTCGGTTTCGGTTCAGAATGATACGGTTCGGTTTTTTTCGATTCGGTTCGATTTAACCTAAAATAGTCTAAATATTTCTCATCATAAATGAAAAGTGATAACCTCTGCTTTAAAAAGTGATTAAAATCCTTTACTCCAGTCTTCACAAAAACTTTTCTGAGACACTAACAAGTGAGCCTAGTGGATTTGACATTTTTACTAGCTAAAGTAAAATTTCTACTAGCCCAGAAAAATAATAAAATTTGAAACCTTTTGTTGTATTATTTTATTCCATTTCATAATGAATTACTCTTCTTTTCATATTTCTTCTGCTTATTTTCTCATTTTGTATTTTTCTTCTGAGTCAATGATACATATATAATCAGAGAAATTATTTAAGGCTGAATTTAACAGAATGAACAATCATGCTATAGATACCTTTTAACATGGTAGTATACATTCATCTTTTTTTCTGATCATTGGACTTCCTCTTCAAATATAAAGTGAAAGCTAGGTGATTTATTTTTTTTAATTCAAATTTTCAGAAACAATGTTAATATATTTTTGATAACCCTTGTAAATCTTCATTTAATTAGTTGAGTAGCTGGAAATAATTGAATCAATTAATGTGATATCTACATGTATTTTCCATAAAATCGGAATGGAGGATTCGGGTTAGTTGAAAAAAGACGATCGCTTTCATGGTTTTTTTTTAAGAAATAAATAAATAATGTAGAAGTGCTAAAAGAATTAGATAAAAGAGATATGAACAAGAGAACCACACTTCTTTGATTTTTTTTCATTGGTTGGGGATTTAAAAACAAAACTTGGAAAATACCTGCTACTTTTTCACTAGCCCGTCGGGCTATTTACTAGCTCATAGCAATTTAAACTAACCTCTATTGTAAAATTAAAGGGTGTTTATGGAATAAAAAAAAATAATCACTGACTTCAAACTGGCACAATCATTATAAAAAGTATTAAATTCATGAAAACAAACACTTCTGATCTCCAATTGGCGGCCATTTTTGTTTATACGTGTTATGTAAATTTTAAACCGAACCGAACCGAATTCTGGATCGGTGCACCGAATCGAACAGTATGAACTGCGGTGCACCGAAATTTTCGGTGCACCGCACAGCCCTAGTAACAGACACAATTTAAATATGCATTGCTAATCAAGTCCAAAATAAGTTTACTGTGATCTAGCTGTATTTGAGCTGTGACACACTTTTACCCTAAATTGCATCTTCTGACTAAACTTGATGATCCTATGTCACATTGTGTTAAGATAGGACCCCTACAGGACTGAGGTCCCTGGACCTACCTTCTGGCCCTCTAACATTCATAAACTGACAATGTTTGATGATTCTAGGTTTCAAATTCTGCAAAATATGATTGATTCAGATACAATTTGACTCCATCTAGCCATAAAATTACAAAATGAGGTCACCATAACCCACTTTCGTAGTAGTAAGTTGGACTTATAGTTACTTGGAAATAGACCTGCTCAAAAACTTTAAACCTGTTTACTAATCAAGAAAATTTTGGTCAGTTCAAAAATCCAAAGCAAGTCTGGAAGTTTTCATCCTTAGATGTACTATCTATACAAAGTTTATCATAACAAGCCATAATATTATATACAGGTAAACTTCGTTATCTCGACATCGACGGGACCATCGGAAAATGTCGAGATATCCGAGGTGTCGAGATATCAGAGTTGAGACTTGACGTCCAAGATTTCACTGCATAACCAAACACATACATGTGTGAATGTCAGACACCTCGGCCCAACGACACCTCGGCCCAATGACATCTCGGCCCATTGACACCTCGGCCCCGACGGGTCGGCCCAAGATTTGAGACACCTCGGCTCACGTAAAAGACACCTCGGCACAAACAAAAGTGTATTATTTTAAACATATTTATTTAATATATTCTGAAGTATTTTATTATTATAGGGACTATATGCGACGAATTATATTATTATGATATATCCAAGAAATAAAAAAGAAAATAAATAATATTCCGAGAGTAAATTGACGGTAATTAAAAAAAAAAAAGACTGTCCATCACAAAGTGCTAATCGTTAAATAAACAAGAACCCTACTACAAAGTGATTTTTAAGTAAAAGAATTCTATACATTATGAAATGAATAAAGTTGCATTTTCATAAGCAACAAAATAAATAAATAGACCTCCTATCTCCCACTCAATATATACACCAGCTGACATCTATGCTGTCGTTCGTTCAAAAATTCTAAAATTATTATTAAAAATTCTGAAATTATATGCCCCTGTTTATCGTATACATATCGTCGTTATAAACATACATAGCCCCTACATTTATATTACCATAGTGAATACAGATAATAATTCTGAAAAAAATCCTTGGGCCGAGGTGTCTTCAGTATGGGCCGAGGTGTCAATAATTCTGGGCCGACCTGTCAGGGCCGAGGTGTCAAACGTGACGGGCCGAGGTGTCGTTGGGCCGAAGTGTCTGTCTACCACATGTGTATAACTATAAGCTTATTATACGTACATGACTTCAATATAGACTGTAGGTCAACTTATTTCAGCAATCCCTCTATTTTTATTAAAAATCTAAGAAGTTATTTTTAAAAATCTTATTTATAAAACCTGTTCTTTCTCTTTATCGAAATCGTTCTAAATTTCTGTAGTTTTCCATCCAGCATTCGCGTGTTACTTGCTTTTTTGTCAAAACAGGATACGAAATGCGCTCTATAAACTTCGAACCGAACCGTATAAACATGATAAAGTCGACATCCGAGATACGAAAACATATTAAATACGTAATTATTTTTTTTTCTTATTTCATTCAGGAAGAATGTGCAATAATATTAATTTTTTAAGAGATTTGTGTATCTAAACTAACGTAGTGATATTACAGATGCATGAATTACGGATGATTCGGTTAATCGTGTCGTTAATCGGATTATTTCCTGTTGAATGCATTTTAACTACAAAATATTATTAGAACATCGTTTAATTCTTTAGTTTGAATTTATTCAATATGTTTATTATTCTTTGTAATTTACTTATCTTTTTCAATTTTAAAAAATATGTTAGGTTTCGACATAAATAAACACCTGTAAATTTAAGCAGAATCGTGCAGATTTATCAGTGATATTACCCAAGCTGAACATTAAGCAATTAACGTCTCAAAGACGCCGAGGGGGCTTTTGATTCACCTACAAACACAGTCTATAGAATTAATTAAGCAGCTTGCAGTCAAAACATGGGTGTGAAAGGTGTGAATTTTTGACGACGTCGAGATACCCGGAGCCGTCCGTGCGTGACGAGCGACCCTATCTGACAAACAATTAGGTTCAGTGGAGCAGAAAATTGCCGATGTCGACATATACCAGGTAAATTTTGCTCTTGAGACTGTGAATATACGTCGAGATAACCAGGGTTGTCGAGATTACCGAGGTCGACATATTAGAGTTTTTGCAAATCATTTATATAGTAAATACTGCCGGGACCGCGGACGGACGTCGACATATCCCAGGTTGTCGACATATCCGATGTCGAGATACCGAAGTTTACCTGTAGCTACTCCAAAAAATTATCTTGGTCACTCATCTGGAAAATGTAGGTCAGATTCAGAATCCAAAGCAAGTCTGGAAGTACCATCCCTAGATAGATCATCCATGCTAATTTGGTTAAAATATGGCTAAAATTCACTCATGTGGAAAATCTAGGTTGGATCCAGCATCCGAAGCAGGTGAGTTACTGTACATCCCTAGATGCATCATCTATGAAAGTTTGGTCCAGGTAGGGCTTATGGGTACTTGGGAATGGACCTGCTCCAAAATCTTTAACCTGGTCACTCATGTGGAAAATCTAGGTCAGATCCAGCATCCCAATCAAGTGTGGTAGTGTCCATCCCTGGATGCATCACCCATGCAACTTTGGTCCAGGTAGGGCTTATAGTTACTTGGGAATGGACCTGCTCCAAAAACTTTAACCTGGTCACTCATGTGGAAAATCTAGGTTAGATCCAGAATCCGAAGCAAGTACGGTAGTGTCCATCCCTAAATGCATCATACTTGAAATTTGGTCCAGATAGGGCTTAAAGTTACTTGGGAATGGACCTGCTCCAAAAACTTTAACGTGCTCACTCATCTGGAAAATCTAGGTCAGATCCAGAATTCGAAGAAAGTGTGGTAGTGTCCATCCCTAGATGCAACATCAATACAAGTTTGGTCCAGGTAGGGCTTATAGTTACTTGGGAATGGAACTGCTCCAAAAACTTTAACCTGGTCACTCATGTGGAAAATCTGGGTCAGATCCAGCATCAGAAGCAAGCGTGGTAGTGTCCCTCTCTAGATGCATCATCCATGCAAGTTTGGTCCAGGTAGGGCTTATAGTCACTTGGGAATGGACCTGCTCAAAAAACTCTAACCTGGTCACTCATGTGGAAAATCTAGGTCAGATGCAGCATCAGAAGCAAGTGTGGTAGTGTCCATCCCGAGATGCATCATCCATGCAAGTTTGGTCCAGGTAGGGCTTATAGTTACTTGGGAATGGACTTGCTCCTAAAACTTTAACTGGGACGCTGACACTGACGCCGGCACCGACGCTGAGGGTATAACATAAGCTCATCTCGACGAAGTCGAGGTGAGCTAAAAATGCTAACAGACAAACATGAAACCTAATACCATAAAACGTTCAGCAAAAGATTGGCGTATAATGAAGTTCTAAAGAATTGTTATTGTTAATGCTCTATAACATGAAAGTGTAACTTTAGACCTCATCCTCTGCATGCAGACTTTCTTCAGATATGACATTCAACATGATGCTTACATTTTGAAATCATTGAATTATCTACTTACCGTATCCTCTGGCAAGTCTGGGACAAATTTGACCTTCTTGACCAGTGTATGACTGCTGTCTGGTGAGCTATACACACGGTTGGGCAATTTTTCTCTCCTAAACCTACATGTAAAACAAATGGAATCCTTTGCAAATTTCAAAAATGTATGAGAAACCTTGTCTCAAATTATTATTTTAAGAAACTATTAAATGTATTACAAAATTTTCCACAACAATTTCTTTTTAATTTAAAAAGTAAAATACACATTCATGATTTAATTCATGTTTACAAAAAATAATCAGATGAAAATTACCCTTCACTTATGAAGTCTTTCCTGTCAATATGACTTGGGCCAATCTGTAAATCTAAGGCGACAATTTTCTGTAAAATAAAAATAAAATAATAAATACAAACATACATGTATATAACTAGATATACTGAGCAACACAAGGCCAATGGGTCTTGATTGTCACCTGGGTATACTACATCAAATTTGCTTATAATCATTTCCCTATTAAAACATCAGTCACTTTTATGTAACAAACAAATTTCTCAAATTTCTCAGTGAATAAATGGCTTGTTTTAAATTTCATAATTTTCTCCTTTTCTTCTGTGAATCACTGTCAACTGAGACTAAATGTGACCAAGTTGTGAGCCTAGAAGAATTAGATCCTTTCCTTTCTGCAGAGACTTTGTGTCCTTCAGCTAAAGACTGGCTCATAGCTGACACAGGTGCAGTAACTGTGTTATGCCTGAGCATGTTCTGTTTACATCCTTTGACCAGTAGATAGGAACATTTTTAATTTTTATAGAAGCCACACCTTGCATTCATCATTTTCATGCAAAACAATGTATCTACTAATTGTCCAGGAGTAAAGGAATGGTTTTTCTTTGGATTAAAATCATTTTTATTTTATGTATGATCAACCCACCCTGGATCTAGGTGACATCAACTTAGCGAAGGGCCAATTGCTTATTATCATCAAGGAAACTGATTTATAACATGAAGAGGGCTTATAAAGAACGCCTTATTTGGGAAAAACTTGGTTGCACCCTCAGGCTCCTTGGGGTGAAGACTATGAAATTCAAATTCTTTGTTTCATGCCTTATCATAAAATGGATTTAAAAAATTTGAGAAGCTGAAGAATTTTCAAAAGTTATGAATGATTAACAAAAACAGATGCTAGTAGAAATAGATAATAATGACCCATGTGGCTTAATAATAAAGTTTAAAACTGTATCTTACAAAATATAATTACTATTATGATTAATAAAAACAGATGCTAGTAGAAATAGATAATAATGATCCATGTGGCTTAATCATAAAGTTTAAAACTGTATCTTACAGCATATTAATTACTATTTTATTTACTTTCAGATATCCACTTTTTATAACGAATAATGTATAATGAAAATTCAGACCTCTTCCTGACTTTGGACAATGGGGGCTGTGACAGATAACTCTACTGTGGTCAAGTCCCCCACGGAAACCTCCTCTTCTTCACCATCTTCTGCCTCTACCTCCTCAATGATATCTATTTTCAAAAAATAAAAGGGTTCTGATAGAGAATCAACCATAATTTTCTTGTAAAAGTGAAAACTATGTGTACCGGTTTGAGATTCTAAAGTCTAATTGGCCGCAACAGTAGTTTTATTCTTTTGAACTCCACAAACATACCACAGATTTAGTACATAAATATGGTAAAATGAATGCATAAAAGATGATCACAAATGTGGCCATCGAACCTGTAAATCCATTTTTTAAGACACATAATTTCTCTGAGCATGGCAATTCTAAAAATTTATAATAAGAAATAGAAAAAAAATGTTTGTCCCCCTTTTCAGACCAACCCTTATTTATAGCATCAACCCTAATTTCTTTTAATGCTTTTTCAGTGAATATCTGAATTTTCAGTTTTTGTCCAATGTATGAAAATTTCTACTATAAATATAAGTCACAGAAATGTTTTAGAGCACTACAGTCAAACCTCATTATTTTGAACTCGAAGGAACTGAGAGAAAAAATTTCAAGATATCCAAGGATTCAAGATATTGACGATAAAATCATTAAGAATAAGTGGCTGGGACTTCCAAATCACTTCAACATATCCATGGTATTCAAGATACATGCATTGGTGTTTGAGATATCAAAGTTTGACTGTATTTTCTTTTGTCATCATTGTAACTTATGTTTTGTTTAAAAAAGCCCAGGGGAAAAAAACTGCACCCCTACCTACCCAATTTTTTTCAGCAAGAAAGCAGGAATAAAACATTTATTTTTCTAGGCAAATTTTTTTATCAAGAAAAAGAAAGGAAACTTGTCAGGTTGTTGAATCCAGTTTACCTTGTGAATTTTGCTGCACAGGCTTATAGAACACATGTAATATGTTCCACCAGCTTCGTTTGATTTCTGGTGGGGCCTTCTTGATAACGACCTTGTGGAGTTTCGTATTCTCCTCCGTAGCTGGTATATAACTTAATTTTCCCGAAATAACAGATGGCCACTGGGTGAGTGTGGATCTTATATAGGTCCATCTAGACTTCAAGGGACCAAAATACCAGTACCTGTCCAATTAAAGTGTTTCATGCAATCAAAAGACAACAATTATCATGGAAATAACAAAAAATACAAATATATACAGTCCAGTGTAATTGATTCTTTCAAAGTGGAATTTTGTTGCTGATTGAAAGGGTGTCATTTATTCTGAAGCTATACACACTTGTTCTTTTTCTTTTCAGCCTGGCTATATGGCCCTGCTGTGAGCCCCATCAAAGAGTATGTGCTTCTTCCGTCCTCACTCTAAAAATCCAATAATGAATACAATATTAACAGTTCTTGAAAATCTTAGTCAACAGTTTAGAATGCATTCAAATATACAAAGAGACTATGCCCAACCCTTATAAAACTGAATTTTTTTTGGAATTAGATTTGAACAAAAAAAAATTATGGGTGGCTCTTGTATCACATACTCCTGAGGCATTGAAATAAGCAGTAGAACTGCCCTCTTCAATTTAGAGGAAAATGTGATGGATGACTTTGAAATAGTCTTTAGCTTAATTGACTTGGGTGACCTTGAAAATAACAAATGGATGTTGATTTTTTGCAATTTTTAAGCATTGAAATTTGAATCCACAACATGCAAATTTCAATGGTGAAAATGGTGCACCCAAATTGGTGGCTTCATAGGCACAAATCTGACAATAGAATGGTAAGAAAGGGTGTTTTTCTAGGCATTTTCATATTTCACATTATCCCAAACTTCTTTCACTCCAACATAATAATACATGTATTATCTGACCATGAATACTAAGCAGTAGTACTTTTGAATCATGAAATTTTATTTTATACTTTATGTTTATCATAGGGATTGCAACTGAATACATAATTGTCAATCTGTTAACCGCAAGTCGTTCCAACCAATTAGTCAGTTAATCATATATAAAAACAAGAGGCCCAAGGGCCTTAACGGTCACCTGAGTACAATACAACAATTTAGAGGATCCATAGAGTATTAAAATGAAATAAAAGGTGAAGCTTTGTTGCCCAAAAGCATGAAAAATAGGGAGATCAGGATCAACAAAATAATTAGTCTACTATTCATTAACAGTTCATAAATTAGGTTCTAATCTGTTCCCCATTTATCACTATCACCATACAGTATATTAACAAACTATCAGTGCTTTTGTACTATTTTAATTCTTTGTTGACAGTTGCTATCTCTTACATTGGCCTCTCTTGGTCTTTGATGAACATTTAATAAGACAAGTTATTTTTGTCTCATTTTTATTTATCTATTACTTACAAGTCCACATGATCATTAAAACTATGAAAATACTTTTTGCATTATACAATAAAAATTCTTGCATAATTCTCTTATTCTATTAATTTTTCAAGTACATTATTTACAGTGATTAATTATCAAAAGTAAACAGCAAAGGGGAATAACTCCTCTCAGTAGAATGCAAATTAATTGAGCCCTGGCTAGGACCAGAACACTTGACCAAATGGTCCAGATGTTCAAAAATCTGGTAAAAATACCCTTCCTTATTACAACTTTTACACTTTTTGCCTCTGATATGCCCAAGTGCAGAGAAGATTCTTAAAGAAATAATGCATTTTCACTACAGATTCACTATATTATCAATAGAGCCCCTCCCCCCCCCCCCTTCACCACCGAGAAACACCAGAGCCTCTCACCCTGGGACCAGAAGTTTCAAGTTTGCTCATCATAAGTAATCACTTTGTTTAACTGCTTAACATTAAGGAGCAGACAGGATTATTTAATAGAATTAATGCATTTTCACTACATTGTCAACAGCCCCACCCTTATACCAGCACATCTGACCCAGGGGTCATGCAATTCACTACTCCGGAAGAAGCACACTTGCTCATCATAACTATATACTTAGCTTCTTTGCTTTTTAACCAGAAGTAGAAAAGAATATTTTCAAAGAAATTTTGATTTTTCACTATATAATCAATAGAGCCCCCCCCCCCCCCCTTTTGACCAGAACCCTTGACCCTGGGGCCATGAAATTCACAATTTTAGAAGAGGCATCCTTGCATATCATAACAATGTACTTAGTTTGTTTAAATAGTACCCAGGGGCAGAGAAGAGGATTTTCAAAGAAATAATTCACCTTCACTGTAGGAGCTATATAGCCCCACCCTAGCACCAGAACCCCTGTCCCTGGGGCCATGAATTTCACAATTTTGGAAGAGGTGTCCTTGCTTATCATAACAATGTACTTAGTTTGTTTAAATAACACCCAGAAGCAGAGAAGAAGATTTTTAAAGCATTAATGCATTTTCACTATATAATAAATAGAGCCCTGCCCTAACATCAGAACCCCTGACCCAGGGGCCATGAAATTCACAATTCAATTTGTTTCAATAATACCAAGGAGTAGAGAAGAAGATTTTTAAAGAAATAATGCACTTTCACTATATGATCTATATACCCCCCCCCCCCCCCCCAGCAGCAGAACCCCTGACCCCGGGGCCATGAATTTCACAATTTTGGTAGAGTCACCCTTGCTGATCATAACTCTGTATCTAATTTGTTTAAATAATACCCAGGAGTAGAGAAGAAGATTTTCAAAGAAATAATGCACTTTCACTATACGATCTATATAGCCCCACCCTAGCACCAGAACCCCTGACCCAGGGGCCATGAATTTCACAATTTTGGTAGAGTCACTCTTGCTGATCATAACTCTGTATCTAATTTGTTTAAATAATACCCAGGAGTAGAGAAGAAGATTTTCAAAGAAATAATGCACTTTCACTATATGATCTATATAGCCCCACCCTAGCACCAGAACCCCTGACCCAGGGGCCATGAATTTCACAATTTTGGTAGAGTCACCCTTGCTTATCATAACAATGTACTTAGTTTGTTTAAATAACACCCAGAAGCAGAGAAGAAGATTTTTAAAGCATTAATGCATTTTCACTATATAATAAATAGAGCCCTGCCCTAACATCAGAACCCCTGACCCAGGGGCCATGAAATTCACAATTTTGGTAGAGTCGCTCTTGCTTATCATAACTATGTATTTAATTTGTTTAAATAATAACCAGGAGTAGAGAAAAAGATTTTCAAAGAAATAATGTACTTTCACTATATGATCTATATAGCCCCACCCTAGCACCAGAACCCCTGACCCAGGGGCCATGAATTTCACAATTTTGGTAGAGTCACTCTTGCTTATCATAACTATGTATTCAATTTGTTTCAATAATACCAAGGAGTAGAGAAGAAGATTTTTAAAGAAATAATGCACTTTCACTATATGATCTATATACCCCCCCCCCCCCCCCAGCAGCAGAACCCCTGACCCCGGGGCCATGAATTTCACAATTTTGGTAGAGTCACCCTTGCTGATCATAACTCTGTATCTAATTTGTTTAAATAATACCCAGGAGTAGAGAAGAAGATTTTCAAAGAAATAATGCACTTTCACTATACGATCTATATAGCCCCACCCTAGCACCAGAACCCCTGACCCAGGGGCCATGAATTTCACAATTTTGGTAGAGTCACTCTTGCTGATCATAACTCTGTATCTAATTTGTTTAAATAATACCCAGGAGTAGAGAAGAAGATTTTCAAAGAAATAATGCACTTTCACTATATGATCTATATAGCCCCACCCTAGCACCAGAACCCCTGACCCAGGGGCCATGAATTTCACAATTTTGGTAGAGTCACCCTTGCTTATCATAACTATGTATTCAATTTGTTTCAATAATACCCAGGAGTAGAGAAGAAGATTTTCAAAGAAATAATGCACTTTCACTATATGATCTATATAGCCCCGCCCTAGCACCAGAACCCCTGACCCTGGGGCCATGAATTTCACAATTTAGGTAGAGGGCTCAATGCTTATTACAATCATTTCATCAGTTTGACTGCTTGATGTCCAGGAGTAAAGAAGAGAAGATTTTTAAAGATTGCATTAATTTTGATGGTTTTAGCCCCACCCCTCAGGCCCCAGGGGGGCAGGGACCATGAAATTCACAAATTTTGTTCCCCTTCACACATAGATGCCATATGCAAAAATTGGCTGAAATTGGTTCAGCGGTTTCAGAGAAGAAGCTGAAAATGTTCAAATGTTAACACACGACGCACGACGGACGACGACGGACGAAAACAGATAGCAATAGGTCACCTGAGTGACTCAGGTGACCTAAAAATTGTAAACTCTGCTTTACTCAAATAAACAAGATAATAACATATGTTACATTATTTCAATTTTAATAGGAAAAAAATGAAATATTAAAATAAATGAAAATTAAAAGAGAAAGTAAAAAAAAAAACTAATAAAAGGTACCTGATCAAGTATCATATCCATTTTTAAATAAAAAATCAGGAGAGACGTTAAATCACGTCAAGCTTGATCAAAAATTTTTACATGTATTTTAGCACCTTAAAAAATAAAGCAAGTAATTTTATTTCGCGAGTGGTTCTTATCGTGTTCTTATTGGTTCTTATATTGGCAATAATCAATTCCTCACATATATTTAGGAATCTAAATAACTCAATGATCATTTAATCAAAATCATTAAAGAAACACAAGTCAGACTGGGAAATAACAAGTCTTTAAACAGCAATTAACAACTGACCAATTACCCCATGGATGTCAATCCGGAGAGCTTTACTTATCTCCCAATAAGCTTATTTAGATGGATGAAAATGTTAACATTACTTTCTTTTTATGTCTACTTAATGAAATTATGATTGAAATCCTTAAATCTGAGCTAGTACAATTTGAAGAATCAAAGAAAATGGTATCAAAATAGGTTTTTGCCATAATTATTAATTAACAGATATTACTCCTTAAGAAAAGCTAAAGATTACCATGTATTCAATCACATCCCTTTTCTTATAAAATCCATCTACAACAGCTAAGGTTGAATCCAATATGATTCTACAAAAGAAATGGAGGAAACATGTGTACCAAAACAAAATACAATGTAGTGTAAATGTATCATATTTAACATGTAGGTTATTTGGTGGAAACTGATTTTACAATAAGTTGTGTAGATTAGATTTAGTGCTTTTTGAACATGCTAAATATAAATACCGGTATACATGTAACAGAGATGGGTTTGTGCCTCTGAATGGATTTGAACCTGGAACCTCTGGCATGCCAACAAATAAAGCTAAATTAAGGGTTAACCCACTAGCCCAAGCTAGTAGGATGCCGTGTAGCTTACACTACCACATTGTCCCCTCCAGAGAATGAGATGTCCTCATCTCTTTTAGAGTACCAGCACCTGTGAGGTGAAGTTTTGGGGCAATCAATTTCACCCTCCAGAGAATGCCCAGGTCCCAGGCACCAAATGTAACAGAGACAGGTTTGTGCCTCCACTTGGATTTGAACCTCTGGTACAGCACTGGCCTGGCATGCCAGAAGTCCTGGGTTTAAATCCATTCTAAGGCAAACACCAAACTCTGTTACATAAACAAGTTACATAAAGGTGCTAAATAGAAAATACTGCTAAATGTAATACATTTACAGTATCTTGTTCTCTTAAAATTTAAAATGTAAAATTTTCTGTATCTTTGATGTAGTTTCAGTAATGTCCAATAAATGTACCGGCACATGTATATAGAATATCAGTAACAAATTTATTCCTTCTTAAAAACAGTCTATCAAGAGCCTAAGCTATTCAGAAGTGCACAATATATGAAATATAAAATTAGAAGAATAAAGTCTCTACCTCACTTGTTCTTTATCTGATCCAAATAGTAACTTGGCAAATAGGTTAGTCTTTCCAAGGGGTATAACTCCTACAGGAATCTTTTTTGCAAAATTCTGTATTAAAAAGCACATGTAGATCTAAATAGTAACTAATTTTTCTTTCTTATTTCTTTCTTTCATATTTTCTTTTAAAATGTTATTAGATATTTCAATTTTTTTTCTTCACACTTGATTTTCTTTCTTTTTTTTTCCAGAATGCATTTTTCATGCAACAAATGAAATCATCACTAGGTATAAAATTAATTTCTATATCTGTTTTATTTCTATCACAACCTTGTTGCCCCAATACTCTGGCATTATACAAGTTAGCTCTTTAAAAGTACCTTGTCTTCCTTCTTCATTACACCAGTGATAGTCTGAATAAAAGTACAGGGGGAAAGTATTTTAGTTTCAATACAAAATTACTAACATCAATGTTAGAAACATTTCAATTTTTTCTTATTTTTGAATAAAACATTTATGAAATCAAACTTAGTAAGCTTGAATTTTAAAATTGATAAAATCCATCAAGCCATTATTCTGTTTGTTACTTGCCAACACTTATTCACAACTCTTTCAACTGAATTCTTGCATCCATCATTGGATATCAGGTGATTATTTTGTAAGTCAATTTCATTCATTTCCATACACACCCTAACTTTTTTTGTATGGAGAGGGCATTTAGAGACATTGCCTCTTGCCCAAACAAATAAGATTTTACATGATTAAAATATTCTTTAAATAACAGGTGCTCCACTGACCTCCAGGAGTGTCCCTCCCCCTCCTGCGGCCACTATCCCATCTGTTTCCTCCCTCTCTAGGACCTCCATGAACTTCTTTACTTGTCCCTCATATTCTGTCTAAAATTTCAATTTACCACTTAGCATATGATCACAAGAAAATCTGTAGTGTACATGTACCCAGTATTAACTTTCATTTCATACATGCACATCATTTTCTGGAATCTGTCATTTTTGTGTATGTATCTCTCTGACTTGTACAAATCTATGTACTTTAAATGTGCATGTAGATGTAGAAAAAAAAAACACTTAAAAAAGCATAAGAACTATTGTAAGAGAGAAGACATGTGACATGTTAATAGTCTAATAACTGTCCTCTCACTTTCTCTTTACTATAACAAAAAGAAAAAAAGATCAAGTGAGACAACTGACTTAAATCAGCTTGACATGCATGATATTCAAATGGAACCTTGATACAAATGTATAAATTTACACAACTAATTTTTTTATGATTACCTTATCAAAATTCTTGAGACAAAATGTTCTAGTTTTTTCCCTTGGAATATTTTATCATTCAGTTCATCAAAACAAATGACTTTATTCTTAATCCATAGAAATCGGGGGAGAAAAACTACACTAACCTTAACAAGATTGACTTCAATACCAGCAAGATGAAGTAATGGTGCAGCATTTTTTTCAAATAGTTTGGATGCTTTCCTGCAAAAGTATATGTAAACTTTTAATTTCAGATACAGTGTTTCCTTTTTTTTTGCATTCTTGTTCTTACTTTGATTCAATAAAAAGAATTTTCCTGTATCATTCTATCAGTGTATAGCATTTTCTTGGGCATTCAAGACATTGCAGTCATTTAGTCTTAACAAGCTCCAGTACACAAGACATCTTTCACTTTCCCCCTCAAACATGTGCAGTAAAAGTGTATTTACAGTGATTCTAGTAAGTTCTATGAATTCAGTTTGAAAGAAAAATAAATCTGAGCATGTATTTATATGCCTCTGTATCGAAGATTTGGGGGTATATAGTTTTTGCCCTGTCAGTCCGTCTGTCTGTTTGTCCACAAAAACTTTTAACATTGCTCATAACTTTTGATTGGTTAGAGCAATGGCTTTCATATTTCACATATGTATTCCTTGTGACAAGAACTTTCTTTGGGTACCAGCACATTTGACCTTTTGACCTTGACCTTGGAAATTGACCCAGTTTTACAAAATTTTACCCAACTTTAACCTTGGCCATAAATTTTGAATAGTTAATGCTAGGGCTTTCATACTTCACATGTGTATTCCTTATGAGAAAACTTTCCTTTGGATACAAACAAATTTGACCCTTTGACCTTGACCTTGGAGTTTGACCTACTTTTGAAAAACTTTAACCTTGTCCATAACTTTTGAATAGTTGGTGCTAGGGCTTTCATTTTTTCACATGTGTATTCCTTGTGACATGACCTTCCTTTAGATACCAACAATTGTAGCCCATTTGAGTTTGACCTACTTTTGGAAAACTTTAACCTTGGCCATTACTTTTGAACAGTTGGTGCTTGGGCTTTCATACTTCACATATGTAATCCTTGTGACAAGACCTTACTTTAGATACCAACAACTCTGACCCTTTGACCTTGGAGTTTGACTTACTTTTGAAAAACTTTAACCTTGGCCCTATCTTTTGAATGGTTGGTGCTAGGGCTTTCATATTTTACATGTGTATTTCTTGTGAGAGGGCCTTTCCCTTTCCTTGGGCACCATTAATTTTGACCATTTGAACTAGACCATGATGTTTGACTTACTTTTGAAAAACTTTACCCTTTTCCATACCTTTTCAACGGTTGCTGCTAGGGCTTTCATATTTCACAGGTAAAATCCATCTGGACAAGATCTTACTTTGGGTACCCACATATTTGATTTGCACTTGAGAAAGTTTAACCTTTGCTATAAGTTGCCATACGGGGGCATCAGTGTTCCACAAACACATCTTGTTAATGGTGACAATTGTTGTTCATCAGTCAGGGATTTTCCACTGCCCCATGTAAGGCTCCATTCCCAATTGCAAAAACCCTCCCTTTTTCCCCCCAAAAAATAATTGTGTATTATGGTCAGAGTTGAAAATCAATGGAATGACAAAAGTTAAGGGAAGCCTTGTTCTGTTTATGACTGACAATTTGTTAATTAGTCTTTTCTCTGATTGAAAATCTTCAATAAGTAAATAAAAGCTCAAATTTATTCATCATTCATGTTCATTTCTTGAAAATTGTCTTGGTACATAATTTCTCAAATAGTAATAAAATGTTGATAAATTCCCAATTCCAAGGACCCAGGCTCCATTCCCAAAATGTAGTGGAAAATCCCTGTCAGTCTTACAAAGCTAGGTGAATGATCATCAGCATTCATTTGAATAAAAAATTAATTCTCTGATATATTCACTCAAATTCTTGGACCTTCACAATATTAATACTAAACAAACCAAATTTTTTTTTAAAAAATTGGCAATTCATAATCTTTCAATGCTAAAGAATTCAGATTAACACAGTTTTGCAGGACTTTTTCTTGATAAAGCACACATGAAAGTGAAATATATAATGAACTAGCTATAATCTTGATATTTTATAGCTACCTGAACTAGAAAATGGGAACACAATCAGGGCTAGAAATAATAATTTTTTTTTCACTGGTCACTTGGGCTATCACCTTAATTTTTTATCAACTCGGTACTTTCACTGTCCCACTGGGCCAGTAGAATTTAAAATGACTGACCCAAAACCATAATGACAATAGTAATATTATGTTTGTACTTTGTTACTTAATAGTACAACTTAACAAAACAAGAAACGACAGAACTTGGATGCACAATCCCGTCAAGTTTACTAGCCCGACCATGAATGAATTTTGTTATGCATAAAAAAACACTGGCCAAAAGGGCACATGCCCTCTACAATGTATTAGCCCCGATTAAAAATTCACTGGCCCCAGACCAGCGGGCCATCAATTATTTTGAGCCCTGCACAATATGAAATGCTATTTTACAGTGCATTAGTTGCAATGTTTATCATTCTAGGAAATCACAGTGGGTTAGAATACTTCTTTATTGCTTTGTTATAACTACAAAAATGAAAAATGATTATTTTGTTAATAGCATGTTTTTCTTTCTTTTTTCAAAAAAAAAAAAAACATCAACAAACCCAGATGATGCTGCTGGATTCAGAAAGACAGTTAACTTTCTTGGCCTCTCTCCAATGCTTATCTTGACATCTCCAAATTTCTGCAATAGTAAGGTTGGATATCAGTTATCTGTTTTATCAATCAGCTTAAATATCTGGAAATTTTTTTAATTATATGAGTTTGAAACTCACAACAATGAAGGAGATATAACAGAACTACAGTTCTAGGTATGGAAAACATATATCTGGGATAAAATGAAGTAGCCACACACCAATTTTTTTTTACGATCAAGTACGGGTAATGTTACTAAATGTTAATGATATTCCACTTACAGAATTATCAAAGGTTATTGAGTAGCAATATTGTCCTATACTGGTATACATGAATCCACTTCATAAAACTTCTTGACTATTGAACAATATATACTATATACTATAGATATACATGTATCTGTACTTACTTATTTTATGTTTGGTAGGTATCCAGAAGAGATTAATGAAAAATATCATATTGTTTCAAAACTACCAGTATGGTATCATACTCTCTCATTCTGATGATATTGTAACAGGAAAGGAGAATGTATGGCTGGACTGGGAATCGAACCCATTAATACAATATTAATTAATTCCTACCATCATGATAAGTGTATCATACATAACCAAACATTGAAGACATCATTTTATCTATTTACTCTGTTTACTTGCTTTTGATTTAGATTTTACACTGCAATAAAAATTTCACAAGTTTAGCATGCTCTGAAAATTAATACAGTTGAACTTTGATATCTGGAGCACAGATATCTCGACATGGATATGTCAAAGTGATTTGAAAGTCCCAAGCCCTCCTTCTTTAAGTATTTTACCCCTGATATCTCGAACCCCCACATATCTCGAAGTTTTTTCTCGGTCCCATCGAGTTTGAGATAACGAGGTTTAACTACACATACCTTTGCTTCTTTACAGTACTCTCTTCTTAACAGATCCTCCCTGGAGCAAAAGAACATATGTTTATATCTTCAAAGACACCATGATATATTTTACAACTACAGGTACTCTGTATTTAAGAGTAACTTCTCTCCTAATTTTTGTTTTAGCTTAAGTATATCGTTATTCATATTTAAGAATAAATGCTACAAATGTAAAATTCATGAGTTATTAAATTCCTGGAGAGTTTACATATCAAAAGAATTATTGCCAGATAAAATTATTGAGAAAAGACGTTATTTTAATAAGTAAACTTTATCAATTAAGGAAACATAATGTTATCAAGTGTAATGTTAAGCAGATTCTCTGAGCAAAAATACAGCTCACAAGGCAAACTCTTAGAGCAACACCAGTCTATTACACACTGATCCAACAGATTTTTTTTTAAAAAGTGCTACCCACGATCCCCCATAAATTGCATATAGCTGCCCAAACTACATTCTTGCATTAACCAAACCAAAGTTCACAAAAAAACTAGAGGCATTGTGAGCACTGAGCTCACATAATGATACCCCCATATACCCTCCCATTTGAGTATAATGACAAAGTCCATTTTTTGCTATGGGATAGCCTAAATTTCTGTCTGATCAAAACATAAAGTATGAGGTGCACAATGGCACTATATACCCCGGTAAAAAAGTTAAATTTTATTCAGTTGTATAGGAGGAGTTGAGGATAAGAAATATGCACCCCTTATATTATAGAAAGAATGGCAGTGTGCATGTTTTGCTATGGGAAACCTAAAATATGTGTCCAATCAAAAAGTAAAATAAGAGGTGCACAATGGCACTATGTAACACAAATCCTGTGAAAGTATCATTAAATTTTATTCAGTGGTATAGGGGATATAGGAGAAGATGCAGATAAGAAATGGATACCCGAAAGCATAACGGACAGACATACAGACGGATGGACAGACACCCCCATCACTATACACTACCTGCTTTTCAAGCAGGGGGGTACAAAAAAAGTCTTTGCCTTGAAAGATATTGTTCACATAGATATATTTAAAGATCTTTGATAAAAGATTGCACTTTTGAAGACTCTGCCTTGGAATGGGTGTGTCCAACCCTTAACCTTCCAAATGTTCTTGTGTGGTTTGAAGCTCAAGCGAGTCTAAGTTAAAAGTGTATATAAATGATTTTGATGATATCCAGTAGCAAGAACGCAACTGTGCTCACCCCAACTATGCTTGCCCGTCAAACTTATTAGCTAATATTAGCTATTACACTTCATAAACCAAGACTCAGCTGCTCAAATACCTGTGCCATCAGCTTCGATTAAAAAATATGAACATAATCAGGGAGCGCAGCAAGCTCAATAGACTAAGACCAGAGAAAATTCAAATTTAAATTGGTATACTTGTCAAGCAAATTTTTCTGTGAAGCCTTCTCCGAATTCCTTCGCTTCCAGGATTCCATGCAATAATGGCAAATAAACAGTTCTGAAGTTATCATGTATTAAGATTATCGTGCAGAGAGCTTACAATAAACAAAAAAATAATTGCATCTACTATCATAATGCCTTTCATTACAAAATTGCAAAAGGGTCTTTTTAGAATCAGTTACGGAAATGCAACTTACATAGGATGTCTTGTGACGTCACAGTCTAGACTGTCTCGTGCGGTTTGAAGTTAGAAGAGGCGGTTTAAAGTGTAGCTACCTAAAGTTTTTTTTTTTTACAAAGAGGATATTCAATGTTTTGTAGTTGGATATGGAATTTATTTCAATCATGAGAAAAGATTTTTTGATATTTTCATGAGTGCTGCATTCGCAGTGCAAAGTGCGAGCCCCTGGGTGGAGAGAAAATTCGGACTGTGCACATCCATCCAAACGAATTTTTTTTCCGCAGTAACCTCTAGACCCACAATGCAACGCTTATTGCATCTCTACATTCTCACTGTAACAACAAAAGTTCGACAAGAAATAAACTCACCTTGATTTAAAGAATATTGCAGATAAAAAACAGATTTAATTTTCTTCATTTGAAATTGGCATTGTTCAGGTTTCAGTTTGGTAATGCAACTTACATACGACGTCATGGTCTAGATGTACCAAATGTCACGTGTGGATAGAAGAGACGGATCAAAATTAAAACTGAATAGGTATCTGCGCTCGCCCAAACGGTTATATTATCCTTTCACATTGTGAGAGAATATCACTTTCGTATCCTTTTACACTATGAGGGAATATCACTTTTATTCAATAAATAAATAATAGTATTTCACTGTTGAAAATTAAACTGCGCTCGCCCCAACGATGGCACCGTAAACAGGTCTGGCACAATCTCTTGATTAAGCTATATAGCTTGATTTAGCTATATAGCTTTATTAAGCTATTCAGAATAGCTTGATTTAGCTATTTTATCACTTTTTTCTCAAATGTGTTATTTTCCAAGTATTCACAAAAAGTCACACCTTGGTGCAGTGATGATATTCGACCTTGAACTCTTATGAAAATAATGCATGTAAAAATCACTCATCAAATTGCGTCTCCTTAAGAGACTTTGTACTCAAAGTTCTAAAAGTTTTGGGGCTATATAAAGCAATTGATACAGTTACTTCTTCAATGAAATTATAAAGGAGGCCAATTATGGTCAACAAGATGATTGGTAATAATTCAGTACAATGAGAAGCAATCATACTTATCCACCTCAACGCACACAATGTAGTGTACAGTTACCCAAACAATGGAAATTCATCTTTTGCTTAAAAGTATTCAAATGCTACAATGTTAGAACTATCTTTGATTTGGGTTGTTGGTTTGATAACCCATATTACATATATGAATAGTCAAATACTTGCGACTTTTTATCTATTTTGTACAATAACATTTTTGTGAAAACCTGCATATAAATAGCTTTATCAAGCTATTTTGAATAGCTTAATAAAGCTATATAGCTATTTCAAGCTATATAGCTTAATCAAGAGACTGTGCTGGACCTGGTAAAACCTGACATAATTAAGGGTACGTACTCAAATTTTCTGTTGACAAATTTCACTCCATATCCTGCTATAATAACAGCAAAGACGGACTTCTTCCAATTTTCTCTGATAGTTTGCAAAACTTTAATTACTTTAGCCATTTTCAAAGTCAACAACCATATTTCGAGGTATATTTACTTATAGAAACAGGCTATGAGACCATGGTCTCATCTAACTCAAAACGAGGCTATTGCTCACCGGAATGGGTTCTCTCATCTATTTTCCCCTAATCATATCCGGTTATAATGTAAGCCTTACGATTATGAAATTATTTTACTTGTATCAAGCCTTAAATTTAGACCTTAAATATAGACTTTAGTTCTGTCTTTAGGGCCATTGAGCAGTGAGGGTTCTGAAGCATTGTAAACAGATTTTAAAATGGAGAAGGCAGGTATGATAAAAATTGACTAAAAAATATATAACCATATTTCCAGGGACCTACTAGTATATAGGTCCCTGATATTAATTATTTCATTATTAAGAAGAAAATGTCCAGTTTACAAATGAGGAAAATATGACAACACACTCTGACACCTATGAACAGACAAACATACAGGGTCTTATGTTTACAACACTGTAGCAAGAGACCATTGACATAAAACAGTCTTAAACATGCATGGTCTCATGTTTACAGACTGTAGCATGAGACCATTGACATAAAACACTCTTAAACGTGGATGGTCTCATGTTTACAAACTGTAGCATGAGACCATTGACATATAACAGTCACAAACACACATGGTCTCATGTTTACAAACTGTAGCATTAGACCATTGACATATAACAGTCACAAACACACATGGTCTCATGTTTACAAAATGTAGCATGAGACCATAGACATAAAATAGTCTTAAACATGGATGGTCTCATGTTTACAAACTGTAGCATGAGACCATAGACATAAAACAGTCATAAACACACATGGTCTCATGTTTACAATACTGTAGCATGAGACCATAGACATATAACAGTCACAAACACACATGGTCTCATGTATACAAACTGTAGCATGAGACCATAGACATATAACAGTCACAAACACACATGGTCTCAATACTGTAGCATGAGACCATTGACATAAAACAGTCTTAAACATGCATGGTCTCATATTTACAAACTGTAGCATGAGACCATTGACATAAAACAGTCTTAAACATGCATGGTCTCATATTTACAATACTGTAGCATGAGACCATAGACATAAAACACTCTTAAACATGAATGGTCTCATGTTTACAAACTGTAGCATGAGACCATTGACATATAACAGTCACAAACACACATGGTCTCATGTTTACAAACTGTAGCATGAGACCATAGACATATAACAGTCACAAACACACATGGTCTCATGTTTACAAACTGTAGCATGAGACCATAGACATATAACAGTCACAAACACACATGGTCTCATGTTTACAATACTGTAGCATGAGACCATTGACATATAACAGTCACAAACATGCATGGTCTCATGTATACAAACTGTAGCATGAGACCATTGACATATAACAGTCACAAACACACATGGTCTCATGTTTACAAACTGTAGCATGCGACCATTGACATATAACAGTAACACACATGGTCTCATGTTTACAATACTGTAGCATGAGATCATTGACATATAACAGTCACAAACATGCATGGTCTCATGTATACAAACTGTAGCATGAGACCATTGACATATAACAGTCACAAACATGCATGGTCTCATGTATACAAACTGTAGCATGAGACCATTGACATATAACAGTCACAAACACACATGGTCTCATGTTTACAAACTGTAGCATGCGACCATTGACATATAACAGTAACACACATGGTCTCATGTTTACAATACTGTAGCATGAGACCATAGACATAAAACAGTCAAAAACACACATGGTCTCATGTTTATAAACTGTAGCGTGAGACCATTGACATATAACAGTCACAAACACACATGGTCTCATGTTTACAAACTGTAGCATGAGACCATAGACATAAAACAGTCACAAACACACATGGTCTCATGTTTACAATACTGTAGCATGAGACCATTGACATATAACAGTCACAAACACACATGGTCTCAATACTGTAGCATGAGACCATAGACATAAAATAGTCTTAAACATGCATGGTCTCATGTTTACAAACTGTAGCATGAGACCATTGACATATAACAGTCTTAAACATGGATGGTTTCATGTTTACAAACTGTAGCATGAGACCATAGACATATAACAGTCACAAACACACATGGTCTCATGTATACAAACTGTAGCATGAGACCATAGACATATAACAGTCACAAACACACATGGTCTCAATACTGTAGCATGAGACCATTGACATAAAACAGTCTTAAACACACATGGTCTCATATTTACAAACTGTAGCATGAGACCATTGACATAAAACAGTCTTAAACATGCATGGTCTCATATTTACAATACTGTAGCATGAGACCATAGACATAAAACACTCTTAAACATGCATGGTCTCATGTTTACAAACTTTAGCATGAGACCATAGACATATAACAGTCACAAACACACATGGTCTCATGTTTACAATACTGTAGCATGAGACCATTGACATATAACAGTCACAAACATGCATGGTCTCATGTATACAAACTGTAGCATGAGACCATTGACATATAACAGTCACAAACACACATGGTCTCAATACTGTAGCATGAGACCATTGACATAAAACAGTCTTAAACATGCATGGTCTCATATTTACAAACTGTAGCATGAGACCATTGACATAAAACAGTCACAAATACACATGGTCTCATGTTTACAATACTGTAGCATGAGACCATAGACATATAACAGTCACAAACACACATGGTCTCAGGTATACAAACTTTAGCATGAGACCATAGACATATAACAGTCACAAACACACATGGTCTCATGTTTTCAAACTTTAGCATGAGACCATAGACATATAACAGTCACAAACACACATGGTCTCATGTTTTCAAACTGTAGCATGAGACTATTGACATATAACAGTCACAAAAAATCATGATATCATTTGAAATGCTAACTTATATAAGTAGTATTATTATATTTGTTCTGTTTAATTTCAGATGTTTTGCTGGTTTTCAAGTCATGGAGTCCCTTGAGTTACCAAATGTGCCATTCACTATTTTTTAAGAACATAATTTAGATAAGGTAATTAAATAATTGTGAGATTGATATTTGCATTTTGCAAAGTATGTCTATTATATACACTGAATATTGAGAATTTTATTGGCACATACTCTATACTTTCTTCAGCACCTAATTCATTATAAATGAAAATGTTGTAAATTAGAGCATTACTGTCTCAAGACGGACCCTTTGTCTTTCCAGACTTCAGAATTTTACATCAATTGACTGCACTTGAATTGTCATACAGGTATGTACTGAAAATTCAATGTCAATACCGGTATATACAAGAGCTGTAATTTATGGACAACTTAAAGGTCTTACGCAAGGAAATAGCCAATCAAATTGAACTTAGTTAATTATAGTTCTATATATTTAGAGACAATTTCTTTTTATTTTTTCATTTTCGGCATCGTTTTTAGGCCTACAGTATTAATTTTGGACTCATGTATTAGGTATATCATATCTTTAGCACAATTGTCCCACTGAATTAAAGGGAACTCATTTTTAGGTGTGCATGAAGCAACTTCCTGGATGGTGTGTAAGTCTAGATCTGTTTGTCAACATGTGAAATCTACATGTATTTCGGGGTAGGTATGTTTACATTCAACTTTTTTTCTTAAAAGTCGCATAAGGCTTATTTTTTCTGATCTCAAATTTTTGTTTAAGTATTAGTCTTTATTATCTCTTTCATGACTTATCTGCTGAGAGTCTAGTTAATTAATTTATTAATTAAAGCTATATAGTAACATATAGTGAAATTTTTTCCTTCTGTGAGACCTAAAGAGTAACAGGTAACTCTCATTTTGACTGCAATTTCTCTGATTTCAGGAGTAGTCTCCCCTGTTAAAGATCAATAATGGTGGATATACAATGTGGGATGCAGTCTGGTCATCAAGAGAGAGTTTTGACACCCGTATACATGTATTTCTACCAATCACCTCCGTAACCTTTGTTGTGTTCATCAGACAGGTAAGAAAAACAAGAAAATAAATTAGAATAATTTTAATGAGATAAATGATAAAAAATCAAACATATTTACAGGTACAGACTCCCTTGTAAAAGAAAATGTCACATTTTACACGTACAATTTTATACGTCATTTACATATCCACATTTTCCCCATTTACACAGTTGAATAGAATCAGTGCATAATAAAACATAGCAACAATTATTACCATACGGTCTTTCAACTTTCATTTTAATTTTGGATCTGTTGGTGATTTACTGTAAGTGTCTTTAGATTTTTTATCGTACAGCTGATATCTTTTAGATGTAAAGTATTTTCTTTGAGATTTATATTTTAACAGTTTTTGTTTCATTTTAAAGTAATTTTGCTTATTTTGTTGTTGTTTTAGATGATGGACCACTCTACTTCCTTTTACAACAGTGCCCCTGCAGATTCACGAAGTTCCAATGTTGAGTTTCCATGACCCCTATTCAGTGAGTGCACAACTTTGTATGTTCTACTTTCAAAATTTCTACTTCTTGTAATATATTTTGGATTTGATTTTAAATATGCCCTATTCACAGATCCATATTTTTGTGTACAAGTATGATATTTAATTCTATCAAGATTACTTGGTCCTAAAGTCAAATTTATATAGTCTTTTAACAAACATTTGTCTTCTTCTGTCATGTTTAATTCAAAGTCAGTAGGCAACACTGAAGATTTCCACTTATTGCTTTTCAGTCCACGACAGGAAAAGGAATAAAGTTGACAGGACTTCCCACACTGTCCTTTGTAGCAACTTACGATGGAACTGACAGCAGTAGACATAGTCCGCTTCATCAAAGGTAAGTCTCCAGAGTGGTGTCTCGTACTCTGTCCTGCATCGAAGCTTCAGGTCCAAGCCAAATCTTCTGTGCATGGATTCTCTTATGGCTTTGGTTCTTCCCAGAAACATGTGACTGCTGAATGGAGCCTTAGCAGTCTGTTTTTTTTGAGAGTCAAAGAAATGATG